TATAGGCATAATCGCAGGCACGAGGGAGAGTCATCTTCAGCAGCAGCAGCAGCAGATTGAGGAGCTGCATCCGCAGACGCACTCCAAGATGGGCTAGGACCTTCTCCGCCTCGACCTCCTCGAGAACGGGAGGGACCTTCGAGAGCGCTGTTGCCCCCCCCCCCCTCCCACCACCACCACCACCACCACCACCACCAAACTCCTGGCGATGCTGCCTTTCCCTGAGAACGCACACACCGCCTCGTGTGCAATGCCCCGTGTGTGTACGCGAGTGCGCGTGTGCTGCCCCGTCGTCCGTGTTAGGGACGCGTGTACCACTGACTGACGGACCCTCGCAACTCCTCAGGCAAAGGTGGAGTCGCTGGTTGCCGCCTGACCGACGCTCCTCCCCGTATGACGCCTCCCCGCTAGTCCCTTCTGTGTCTCGTTCCCCCCCCGCTGCCCGACTGTGTGCGGGAGTTGGTTTGTCGGGAGGGAGGGGCGGGCTGGTCACCCACGTGCACCGGGCCAGTGCTAGACCTTGCACTTTGAATGCCGTGGGGCTCCTGCCCGTGTCCGGGTGTGGAGATGCGAGGGTCGCCCCCCTTGCCCCACCACTTTGTGTGTGTGGAGAAATCTACCTTACCTTTTACCTTGTACCTTACCTTACCCGACCCTGCCCACGTAGGGGGTAGACAGCGCCCCAAAATCCACCGGTGTGGGGGATTTCGCGCAATCGCTTGACTCTGAAAAGCTCGCTATGTACCTTTCTGAGCGCTGTGGTCGCCGCAGACTGGCTCCAACTTGACGGCGGCATGGAGGCATGATGCCTCCATGCCGGCCGCATGCCGCCGTCAAATCGAAATCGACATACAGCTCGATGGTTTGCCCGAAAGGTACATAGCGGCGTTTCTGGCGACAACAGCGCTGCGACCGCGAAGTGGCGGTGGACATGCTCCCACGTTGCCGACGCGGCGCCGGAGTGGCCGGCGCTGCTCGCCGCGACCACGACGGCTACTCTGATACTCCGGGCCGACCCGTCCTACCCGACGGTGGCACTCTTCCACGTCTCGCTCATGGCTAGGGATCTGTTCCCGGGAGTGAACCAGCCGCGAGAATGCCTAGCCTAGGCGTGGAGGCCCGCGGCTCCTCGGAAACTCCGACCTTCGCCCGCGTGCCTTCCTGACACGAGGACCCGGCTGGCTCCTCCGCTTGTGGGCCTGCAGCCCTCTGGTTTCTGTTCCATGGGCAAGCTACGAGGCTGGCTTCGTGGCGACGGCGACCGCCCGCGCTGGTCGAGGCTGCAGTACGCCGTCGCCGCGTGCGCCGAAGACTTACAGGACGAGCTTCAGGACGAGTGGAACGATTGGACGCCAGACAAGTTCGCGGGGTACGAATCAGGGGACGAGTTCGACTCGTGCAGCGAGTGGGACGACGGCGAGGCCGTCGACCGCGGCTGGGAGTGGCTCGGCTGGTCGCCGACCGACGAGAGTGAGGCAGACGGGCACGGTGACGGAGACGAGAGTGAGGACGAAGGGCCACTGGACGATTCAACCTACGGCGCACGCGACTATCCCCGCCTCACAGACGACCGTCGGCTGCAAGACATGATCGACGCCACACCGTGCGTCGTGACCAGATTCCTGATCGCGCATGGGAAGCAGTTGGCAATGCAGGAGGACGTTTACGGAGACGGGTTTGATGACGGGTTTGAATGGGGCCAGAAGAGAGAAGTCCGCACAGGAGGCGGGCCCGAGCGAGGCGCAGGAGGTGGGCCACAGCGAGCAGCGGGCCAAGCGCCAGTGCCACTTCTTCAAGCGGGGGACGTGCCGGAACGGCGACGCCTGCCGTTTCGGGCACTCCTAGAGGCGGAGACGAGACACCAGTTCACGACAAGACAGTCAGCAGGGCGGCGCGCCGCGGCGGCATCGGCAGTAGGCACCCGCGGCACGGCCCCGCTGTCGGCTCTCGCGGGGAACCGGCCCCCCATATAACTCGGGGTGGATTGATTAGGGCCTACCTGGGCCTTTAACATTTTCCACCGCAGAGGTCGAACTGGATTCGGTACTTCAGCTTGGTATAGTATCATTGTATGCCAGATCATACCCCAGGGCTATACCCTGATACCCTCTTGAGAGGACCCGCATTGGGCCCCTAGAGGATACGCTGATACCCTGGTGGGTACCCTTCACACCGGACACTCTTCACACCTCTTCGCGCGCTGCGCGCGCGCCAAGACAGACAACGCGCTCGAGTGAGCGTCGCACAGGAGGGAGGCGAGCGCACCACTAAGCAATGCGCTGGGCGAGGAGGGCGCTAATGGCGGCCGTCGTCGCGTTTGACGGGCCCGCGGCGGAAGCCGGTGGGTGCGGCTGCAGCCGCGAGAGGGCTCGGTCCTCGGTGAGAGGTGTGAATTATCGCTTCGCTGCGCGGCCGCCGATGATACCTTGATACCCAGCCGAGATAAGTCCCCACAGAGGCCTAGAGCATACCTTGATACCCCCTCGAGAAGGTACGAATCATACCGTACCGGGTACCCAGGTACCCGGGTAATACGTGGCTGGGTTCACAGCGATTGTAGGAAAATGACGGGAACACTTGACGGTCGCGGCCTTCCGACTCGCGCCTCCGCCTCACTGGCACTATTGTAGCCCTGGCCGGTGCGCGTGCAGAGTTGAAGTTCCGGAGTGAAAATTCGAACGCGTTCTCTCACGGTGACCAAAAAATGTCCGCCTCAGAGGCACCTCCGGAGGCAGGCCGCCGCACGCCGGCGACACAGCTCCAGCTGTCGAACTGACCCGCAGCTCCTCTCAGAGCGGGAACTGTGACAAAAGTTGACTGAGGCGGTTGTCAGGAATCATCATACGGGTCACATCGTGGCTCTTTCATGACGGGATACCGCCCGACCACTCCTGGGTGGCACTGCCACCGGTGTCGCTCAACGTCCTGTCGACAGCGTGCCGACAGCGACACAGACCATGTGGGACGCGTCGAGTATCGACCTCTACTGCTTACCCAGCCTTCGAGTGTATCCTGGCTGTGGTCCCACACCCACTGGTGTCCATCTCAGAGACCGCAGGAGGTCATGAGGGTCGATGGGAGTGCCAACCCCACAATGCCTAAAAACCCAGCCCAGTAAGCTGAAGTGCAGCAGTGTCGACGCGTCGGTACGGAGCCCATCAGACTCAGACGAGAGCGATGCCGAGTCGGGCGGCGCCGACGATCGCCGCTCTTATGAGAGAGTGATTCCCTTGGCACGGGGATTGCACAAACATGTCGCGTGTTCCGTGTGGGGTCCTGTTTTAGGCTAAGTCGCGCGTGGGATGGCCTGTCACCGTTGCGGGTCCCATCGCGATCCCTGTGCGTGCTCGCGCCCGGGCTTGCGCTCTTGCGGGGGGGAGCGTGAGCCGGCTTTCTGCACTGGCAACCCCCTTAAACCCTTCCTCGCGTAGCCTCGGAGTGCTGGGAGGTGGGCTCTGCTTTGCATCCCTACAACGGCCATGTGAGCTTGTAGCGGGCTAGTTGCCCTTGTGGTAACATATACTACCATACCATATAAGCGCCGTCGAGACGTGCAGCAGTGGCCACGCGTCGGTACGGAGCCCATCAGACTCAGACGAGAGCGACGCCGAGTCGGGCGGCGCCGACGAGAGCGCCGTCGAGACGTGCAGCAGTGTCGACGCGTCGGTACGGAGCCCATCAGACTCAGACGAGAGCGATGCCGAGTCGGGCGGCGCCGAGTCGGGCGGCGCCGACAGCAGTGTCGACGCGTCGGTACAGAGCCCATCAGACTCAGACGAGAGCGACGCCGAGTCGGGCGGCGCCGACGAGAGCGCCGTCGAGACGTGCAGCAGTGTCGATGCGTCGGTACGGAGCCCATCAGACTCAGACGAGAGCGATGCCGAGTCGGGCGGCGCCGAGTCGGGCGGCGCCGACGAGAGCGCCGTCGAGACGTGCAGCAGTGTTGACGCGTCGGTACGGAGCCCATCAGACTCAGACGAGAGCGATGCCGAGTCGGGCTGCCTTGGTGGCTGATCGCGGCGGTGCTGATGGCTGCGGTGATGCGGCGGGCGGCATCGGCGGCGTCGATGGTGTTGACGGCCGCGTTGGCAGTTCACACGGCGCGCGCGAGTGTAGCGAGGGCGCCGAGTGGGCGCACGCACCAACACAATCATCAAGTGCATCTCGGAGAGCGTGTTCAGGTAACCCACCATACTTGTCCGGGTCGAAGAGACCGCCCCAGCGATCTGGGTGGTGCAGACGGCATGCGACGCCATGGTCATGCCCTCGCGCATGTTTTGTGATACATTTAATGTTACAGCGATCCAAGTCCCCAGCTGTCGCGGGCACAAGTTCACTCGACCCCCCCCCCCCCGCCCCAGTTAACTCGCCGCGTCGAGTGAACTCGCCCCGATCGACTCGCCGGGTCAACTCGAGGTGTCCTTCTTTGTAACGCCTTCCCGATTCCACTCCCCTCTCCAAAAACTCCGATATCCCACTCATATCCCGGGAATTTCTAAATTGTACTGCTCGAACACCATTACTCACACCCATAGCGTTTTCACATGATATGCCGCCCCCTCTTCCCTGCCCTCTTCTCGTCTCGGCGTGGGTCACGCTGCGATGCCACCAACAGACACTACGCGCCTGAGCGCACCCTTGCCGTGGCGCCCTTCAAATGGGGCGTTTGTCGTGTCCCATACGATTTTGAAGCGCTTGGTCACTTCATCGTCCGCTTTCGTCTGGCCCCAAGCGGGGTCCCCTTTCCAATCGTCGTAGCGCACGTATGTGCCCGCCTGAATCAATTTATTCTCGACCATCCAGGTCATGCTGTCGAGGGTGGAAATATAGAGGTCGACATCGAAATCAACGAGCAGCGCTGGGCGGAATAGTGAAAGGTTCAGCTTGGGAAGGGACTCGTTGAAAAAGCCAGCAATGAAGCTCACGCGATCAGGATCGCCAACATATTCACTCACGCTTGCAACCGTCTTTTCAACCGTGCTGCCAAGCTCATCGCTGCTCGAGAAGGCTCCTGGGAGCCAGTGCTTGCCAGCGATCTTGAGGCCGCCCGCCTCTGCGGGCAGCCCTTGGAATGAGTCAAAGCCCCACATGTGATGGAAGATTGGGATTTGATGCTTGATACTCCTCATCGACCCGCCCGTGTACACGCCAAACTGATAAATGTCCCTGAGTGGGCTGCTGCTCTGATTGACAGCCTGCACGAATGCAGGTGCTTTGCTTGCCCATTTGACATTGAGGCGTTGGACACGGCTTCTGTTTGTGTTTTTGAACATACCTCCGTAGACCAGTTCACTGTCGGGCGAGTTCCAGCGGATTCGACCTGAGCTTGCGGCAGCGTACTCGCTCGCCGTGTGGACTCTGGCTTGCGATGCGGCTCTCGTAAGTGCCACCGCAACGGATGACTTGATCACAACGATCACAAGAGCAGCCCTCGATGTCTGGCGAGGTCCCATCCCGCGTGGAGGAGGTAGCGAGGGTGGGCCTCAAAGAACCGCGGCGCCGCTCGCGAGCTGGGCGGCGCGACGCACAACTACTTGTATGGTCGTTTATACGCGATCGGTACTAGCCCCGCACTGCGGGCATATAAGAAGATCTTAATATGACCGCAGTGCCCGGGACAAGGAGTTGTGAATAAGGGCATTATATTGCCATCATAAATATCTACAACATCCCCCCTCGACAAGGGCCGGAAAGAAGTACGTACGATCTCGTATTCACTCTTTGCGAGAAAGAGAGAAACGAGCGGTGCGGTCTCTACAGCAGGGGGTCGCAAGCGGGGTACTCTTCACATCACTCAACGCAAGAGCACCGCGACGGCTGCACGCCGCGCGCTGCCTTTGATTCGCCTGCTCCTGCGTGCCTGTGAGTGCTCGCAGCAGGCAATGTCAAACAACAACAAGAGTGGAAGCAGTGGGGCACCACTGTCATGGGGATCGAGAGCTGTGTCCCCCACCAGCAGGCCACTGCACAGGCCACCGAGGCACTGCAGAGCCAGGCTGCTGCAGTGCCAGCTGCGCCGGCGCTGGGCGCAGCTGGCGTTGTTGCCAAAGCTGCTCTCCTTGAGAAATTGGCAGCACAGTCGAAGCCGAAGCAGCTTGCGCTGCCGCAGCAAGTGATGGGCGATGCAGGCGGCATTCGAGCCTGGCACATCGCACAGGTGCAGGCGGGGCGCCGCCGCCGCCTCAGCAGCAGCGCCACCCTTTTGGCGCGGCCTCCCATCGCGCCTGCCAGCCACCGGCACCTGTCATGTCGAGGAGGAGGCGTCAGAGCTGCGAAGATACTCGAGTACCGAATCCTGACAACCAAAAGATGGTGGCAATCTGGAGTGTCGCGGCATGCGCGGCTCGTTTCGCACGGCCGCGCGGAGTTCTCTCCCCTCTGCCCGCCCGATGTCTCGTGACAATGTCGGCTGCGAAGCGGCGTGTGGTCTTCCTCGGGACGCCCGCCGTGGCGGCACGGTCGCTCGAGCTCCTCCTAGACGCCTCCGCTCAGGGCGGCGGCGGCGGCTTCGAGGTTGCAGCCGTCGTGTCGCAGCCGCCGGCGCGGTCGGGTCGAAAGATGAAGCTGACGGCGTCGCCGGTGCAGACGCTGGCGGAGGCGCGCGGCATCGAGCTGCTCACTCCGGCGAGCGCGAAAGAGGAGGCCTTCCTCGCGCGGCTCGACGAGCTGCAGCCCGACCTCTGCATCACCGCCGCGTACGGCTGCTTCCTGCCGCAGCGCTTTCTCGACATCCCGCGCTTTGGAACGCTCAACGTCCACCCGTCGCTGCTGCCGCTGTACCGTGGCGCCGCGCCGCTGCAGCGGTGCCTCGAGGCGGGCGACGCGGTCGCCGGCGTCAGCGTCGCCTTCACGGTCCTCAAGATGGACGCGGGGCCTCTGCTGAGGCAGGAGGAGAGGCCGCTCGTGGGGGATGAGCAGGAGCCGCCCCTGCTCCTCGAGTTGTTCGAGCGAGGCACCGAGCCCTTAGAAGCTGAAGACGTATTCTCGTCTTGCAACCAGCGCTCGAGAGGACACGCACTCCGCTGTCTTCAGCTGCATTCGGCTGCATTCACTGTACTCGCCTCCCTCGTGCCCACGCGGTGCTCTGAATGCACTGCACAATGCCGTCTTCCCGCCCTGAGGTTGGCGTACTCACCGCGCAGGCACTGAGCTGCTACTCGACGCCCTCCCGTCCGTATGGGACGGCAGCTGCGCCGGGCAGCTGGCGCCGCAGGAGGACGCGCGCGCCACCAAGGCGGCGAAGCTATCGACCGCCGACGCCGAGCTGCGGCTCGAGCAGCTATCAGCGTCGGAGGCGCACAACAAGGTGCGCGCGCGCACCGGACCTTGCACTTCGAATGCGCGGGGCTGTGACTGGGCGTGGAGTCGCGAGGGCTGCTCTGGCCCCTGCCCCTCCCACCCTCGTGCGTGTGTGTGGAGAAGTGTACCTTCCCTTGCCTTAGGTGCGTGCTTTCGCCGGTTGGCCCGGCACGTGGACTCGCATCTCGATTGGCGGCGCGGAGCCGATCCGAGTCAAGCTGCTCCAAACCCGACTCGGCGCGGCCGCCAGATCTCGCCATCTCTCCCCACCTCTCCAGTCCAGCTCCCGGCCGAGTACCGGTATCTCCCTTTCTCTCCCCATATCTCCCCATATCTCCGATCCGAGTCAAGCTGCGAGTGGTGCAGAGCACGCCTCATCTCTCCCCATACCCCCCTCCATATCTCCCCATCTCTCCCCGTATTAGGCTTGCCCGAGGCCGCCGGCGATCCTCCGCCAGCTGGCCGGCAGGTCGCGCTGGCGGCGGGCGGCGGCGCGCTACGTCTCGTCTGCGGAGACGGGTCGTTGCTGGAGGTGCTGCGGCTGACGCTGCCCGGCAAGAAGCCCGTCGACGCGAGGGCTTTCTGGAACGGACTCAACGGCCGCCGCGCCGAGTGGGCCTCGGCGCCTCCAGACGCCGCCGCCGCGCCGGAGCACGCCGCCGCCTCAGCGCCGCCGGAGCCGCTCGCGGCAGCGGTAGGTGCCAAGCGCCAGCGCGTCGAGGTTACCGAGCCGCCCCCTCCTGGCTTCACGTGGGGAGGAAAGTACTGACCGAGACCGTGGGGCCCGCGATGGGGCGCATGGCTATGCTCCTCGGGACCATTGTCGGCATGGCGCATACATGTACATGTACTGGGCGCTCTCGGTGTGTCCCCGGCGCGGGCCGGCGCGGCGTCACACTGTCAGAGATAGGCATGTTAAAAAGAGAGCGATCGGCCGATCGGCGGCCGGGAGAGATGGGCTCTGGTAGGAGGCTCCACGCCACCTCTGACGCCTCGCGTCGTGCCACCTGACTCTCGCCTGGAGAGGCCTCTTAGCCGAGGCACACGTGGCAATCGCCACGTGCGCCACCAGGGATTTCGGCCATTTTAGAGCCTTTTGCACAAAATTGCAGGTGGCTTTAGCCACTTGCTCCATGAGCAAAACAGTGCAAAAAGCACCTGGAGCAGATGGCTTACGCCGCCTGTGGACATGGGCAAAATAGTGCAAAAAGCACCTGGAGCAGATGGCTTACGCCGCCTGTGGACATGGGCAAAACAGTGCAAAAAGCACCTGGAGCAGATGGCTTACGCCGCCTGTGGCCATGGGCAAAACAGTGCAAAAAGCATCTGGAGTAGATTCCAAACGCCGCCTGTGACCATGTGAACGCTCGGGTGGCGCCAGGTGGCTTCGGCCCCCTCCAAGCCACCTGCCCCGCCCCCCTCGCCACACCTGGAGGGCTGGAGCACGTGCGCCACCTGGGCCTGGGCAGGTGGCAACACGGTGGCTTCGGCCCCTCCAAGCCACCTGCATGCCCCCCCTCGCCACACGAGGAGGGCTGGAGCACGTGCATGACGATCGGCCGTCGATCCCGAAGGGTCGTCGGTTGAGCTAGGGAGCCTGGCGATGGACGCCACCGCGACCCCTCGTGGCATCTCTCTCGCCGTCGGCGAGCTGGGGGCTCGCGGACGGCCGACTTTCTATATGACCAGTAGGACAGCCGTGAGTGTGAATTGGATAAGGAGTTTGCGTCCGTCCACCGTCTTCGTGGACGTCTGTCCTCGTGACACCCACACCCCACACGGCCTGTCTTGCTTCTGTCGTACCGGTATCAGCCTCTCGTTAGAGCATCCGGGACGATCTTGCCATATCCATACCGCGACGTGCGGGCTGCGCTCAGGGCTGCAGCAGCGCCGCTCAGGGCCACGCCGTCGCCAGGAGAGGCGGGCGGCCCGACGGGCAGCGCTTACGGCATGGTTCTGGCAGAGGTTTCGCCGTCCGGGGACGGCGGGGTGGCCGCGGGGGCTGAGACGGAGGTCGCGCGCATCTTCGAGATCCTCGAGGCAAAGCGGGGCGGGAAGTCCCTTGTCACAGCATTTGGAGACGAACAGCTCGCTGTTGTCGCCGAGGCTATGGTTGGTGACGCGACGAGCGCCGCGCATTTGCAGGAGAACATGCTCGGCGACGCGAGCGTAGTCGACGTCTTCTCGCCGTACTTTGCGAGGGCCGTAGGCAGGGACACGCTGCCGCCCCATCTGCAGGCAACCCTCCGAGCGTGGTGGCTTGGGGCCGCCCATTGCTATTAACAATGCTTTGGAATCTATGAACATGACCTCGAGTGGAGCCCCAGTCCTCGACAGGCTCATGACGATCGGCCGTCGATCCCGAAGGGTCGTCGGTTGAGCTAGGGAGCCTGGCGATGGACGCCACCGCGACCCCTCGTGGCATCTCTCTCGCCGTCGGCGAGCTGGGGGCTCGCGGACGGCCGACTTTCTATATGACCAGTAGGACAGCCGTGAGTGTGAATTGGATAAGGAGTTTGCGTCCGTCCACCGTCTTCGTGGACGTCTGTCCTCGTGACACCCACACCCCACACGGCCTGTCTTGCTTCCCCACCCACCCTCCCTATTTTGTGTGCGCTGTCGCGTTTTGGGGTTGGTCCTGCAACGGTGTCCCGTGCGGAGCAGTGGTGTGCTGCCGCGCGAGGGTTGCAGGCGTGAGGGTCGAGGGTACCTTTTCCCCCCTTTGCTATTAACAATGCTTTGGAATCTATGAACATGACCTCGAGTGGAGCCCCAGTCCTCGACAGGCTCGCCACCTGGGCCTGGGCAGGTGCGTCGGGCCGAAGCCCGTCAGGCACTCTCTCCCTAACCCTAGCCTTCTCCCGAACCCTAGTGTGTTTTGTTGCCTCCGTGCTTTCACACTCGTCTTGTCGTGTCCGTCCACTGTGATTGCGGCCGTCCACGACTACGTCGTCTCTAGAGAACGTATCAACCCCCTTCTGGTGCCGACCGCGCCCCCGCGGGGCACGGCCGGACGTGGCAGCGTCAACTGGTCACGACCAGCACTTTGGGGGAGTCCCTTCACGCTATCCCAGATATGGCCGGCGACTCGCTGGCGGGGAGCCTCGGGGAGGTCCCCGCCAAAGATGTCGCAGTCATCGCAAAAGCCGCTTCTGAAGAAGCCGCAAAGTGGCTCAAGCGCAACAACATCGAGGCGGGCGCCGGCACGCTCGCCTATGCCGGCACCCTCCTCAAGGGAGCCGTCCGCGAGCCCCCAGCTCGCCGACGGCGAGAGAGGTGCCACGAGGGGTCGCGGTGGCGTCCATCGCCAGGCTCCCTATTACTCACATACTCGCTACCCAACGCGGCCAAAAGGATATCAACCTCGAGAACCTCGAGAACAACATACCTAAAAAGAATTCTTAAGATACAAGCCTCTCTCACAGCACACTGGCACGACAAGGGCGCGGACTGGCGCGGACTGGCCTAAAAAGAAATCAACAACGCAGCTCAAGTCCCCACACACGGAGCGCCCGGCTTAGTGCCAATGTTGAGCGCGGCAACCGTCGCGTGCGGCGTGCTGCTGGCCGGCAGGCCTCTGGCGGTCGGCGTCGATGGCCCGCGCGGCCTGGGCGGCGCGCGCATGCTGAGTGCCGCGCCGGCGCCGGACGGATGGCTGGAGACTGCCGCCCGCAAGCCTGCAGTCAGCGCGGAGGAGCTGGCCGAACTCGAGGCGACAGTCGAGAAGGAGCGGGCTGCCTGGAACGCAAAGACGTTCGCAGAGGACTTCTCCACCAGCGACTTCAATACTGGCCGGGCCGCGCCCTCTCCCGTCGCCAGCTGCGGTGAGGCGCAAGCCGCTGACAGTGCTGCGGAGACCTTGCACCGGTTTGTCAATGTGGGCTGTGAGGCGGTGGTGCCGCCCGACAGCATGGTGATCGGCGAGGGGGGCGCCAAAGAACTCGAGGCCATCGTCACGGGCGAGGTCATGCGCCGGAACGCGCGCGATTACGCCGAGGATTGGTCCCGCGCCTTTGAGGACCAGCCGGCGATGCCAAGACGGCGCGAGTGGGAGCAGCTGTCTGCCGCGCTGACTGCCGCCTTTGCCCGGACGGCCGAGGTGTCGCCGCAGCACCCTGCCGCCGACTGTCTGAAGCAGGCCGACGCGGCCGCACTCATGGAGGCATGCGCCCGAGCCCCGGGTGCGGGAGGGGTGGGTGCCTGCGCTCTTCCCTCCTGGTTTCCCCCGCATTTGCAATATGCCAAGCGGACCGAACTCACGCACCGCCGCGCGTGGCCGTCCGAATCGCCGCAGGCGCTCGAGCGGCACTGCACGTGGGAGGAGGGTAGGTACACTCGCAACAGCGTGCTGAAGGGCGATGGCTTTGAGGCCATGGTGAGCAGTCAGTCGGCGAAGCGCGTGTGTTGAGTTTCGACGCATTGCCGAGCGCCCTCTGCCCCCGCCTCAGGTGCTGTGCTGGGACGCAGGCGCGTCGTCGCCTGTGCACGGACACTCGGTGCCTGCCTAGCGCAGCGGTGGAAATGTTGGGCACTGCTAACGGCAGTCGCCCGCCACGAGCCCATCCCCCCCCTTCACAGGACGTGCACAGTGGCATGCGCTCGAACTGCTTCATGAAAGTGCTGCGGGGGAGCCTGGTCGAGACCACGTACGAACAGATCTCTCGACATGGCAGCAAGCCTGCGGTGCGTGAGGGGACAGCGCGGTCGTTGCCTGCCGGCGCCGACGCGTATATCAACGACGACTTTGGCGTCCACAAGGTCGGCGGCGACTGAGTTTCTCCCATCGAGCTTTCGGCGGCGGCTCACGCTTCGCGCCGATCCGTCGTCTCAGGTTCAGAATCCATCGCCCACCTCTGGCGCCGTCTCGATCCACGTCTACGCGCCCGGGTGGACGTCGGTGCAGCTCTACGACGAGTGCTCGGACGATGTCGTGCATCTGGCAGAGTCGCCCGCCGCTGCCATGCCGGAAGGGCAGGTTGCAGAGGGCTGGAATCACTGGAAGGACAACTCCAACATCTGAAGCCACTTGCCCCGTCCGCGCTCGTCCGCGACAGAGCGCTAGCGGTCGGGATGGAGGCTGGTGGAGAGGCGCAAGCTTGACCCGGCGCGAGCCGCACTGGCGGTCTCTGGTGCTCGGCCTCTTGCGCATGTCCCAACTCCTTGGTCGGCCCTCATGCTATTGAGAACGCACGCCCGTGTGTATGCGTGTGGTGGTGGCCCAGTGTCCTCGCCGGGTGTCGCGCAAGCGCTTGTCTACGCCTTCAGAGCTCACACAGATGCCCAGCACCCACTTGCGCGCGCTCCTCTTCTATAAGAGACCAACAACCTCTCCGAACCCCGCGCTGTGTCCTGCGACCCCCCGTTCTACCTACACATACCTATACGCTGACTGATGACTCGAAATATCTCGGATTGAACATCCAGAGGCCGCAGTTCCACGGAAAGCTGCGGCTGCTGGCTTGCCCCACGTACTCCTCGCACATCTGCACCAGCGACAAGGTCGATTCATAGTATCGATGGCACGCCTCTGATAGTCGTGCCTCATCGTTCGCCGAGGGGGCGGTTAGGAACTTGGTGAGCGAGAACTCGTCGTACCCGGGTATCGGGTCGAGCAGCGGCGGCATTGGGAACGAGGTTGCTGACATCAGCGTCGCCTATGCAGGGGTTACTCGTGAGGATGGTTGCGAGCCCTGGGTGCTGGCCTGGCCAGGCGTGCGCCTGCGTCACGGCCGTGATCTTCGTGCCGCACTGTTCGCCGACGGGCCATGCAAAGGAGCAGAAGCGCACGTCCTGGGCGTAGACGCCAACGCTCCCATAGTGCTCGTGGTGCGCCGTCACCTCAAAGACGAGCCGCGCCACAGCATCGATCGCAAGATCGCGCAGCTCCACGGGAGGCAGCTCTCCAACCACGTGCTTCAGCGCCGCGGTGTGGACGAGTCCGCCCACGAGGGCTTCGAGCCAGTCACGCAGCTCCGTGTCCGCACAGACCGTCTCGAGGGCGGGGTACCAGATGTCAAAGTAGTCAGCGACCATGCGTCGCACCACATTCCAGTAGGCCTCGCCCTGCTCGTAGTACGGCAGCCGCACGCCCAATTCGTCGGTCCTCCTCGCGAAGTAGTCGGGGATGTTGAAGATGAGGCGCAGTAGCTCAGCGTCGCCCACCTTGCCTCGCAGCTCGGCACCGTCGACCATCACAGAGGGCACCGCCTGCCACGCCTCCCGGAGCCCTTGGTCGGTAAAGGCAAAGTTGCGCGGGCCGAGTGTGCCGCGGGAGATCAGGATGTGATTTGCGATGGCGTTGCTCCTCCTCCGCAGGTGTGGCTGCGATGAGCACGTGCATGCTCGCCGCACGCCGCTCCCAAATCGCCTCCGCGCCGCAGGCACGCTCCCGGTTACCACCAAATGCGCGATCGATAGTAACAACGTTCATCCGGCGATCGCCCGTTTCGTCTTGCCGCTCGGCGCCACCATCAACATGGACGGCTCCGCTATTGGTTTCCCGTGCAGAGTCTTCTTTGTGGCTCTTGCACAGGGAACGTGGACCAACCCGAGCCCGGCCGATTTGTTCACCACCGCGCTCATCTCGACGCTCATGTCCATTGGGGCGGCCCCGATACCAAACGCAGGCCTGGTGCTGCTCACTCTCATCCTCAACACGGTCGGCGTGCCAGTGGGCTGGGCCTTTGGCTTCATCATCGCCATCGAGGCGAGCCCTTGCCCCCCCCATCCCAGCTCCTCCTCCTTCCGCCTGACCTACCCTGCTTGTCCGCCGTCCAAAGTGGATCCCCGACCGGCTCGAGACGATCACCAACGTCACCGGCGACAGCCTCGCCTGCGTGATCATCAATCACCGCTATCGAAAGGCGGTGGAGCGCTCGGTGCGGTTGAGCCAGCACTTAGCAGCGGAGGCGCAAGTCTCCCGCGCGGAAAATACGGTGGCAGAGGCGTCGAAACGCGTTGACGACGTGGATGGGGCGGACTGAGTCGTGCAGACGGGGTCCCAGGACCCAGCCACAATATAGTTGGTTTCGGGTGTCGAGCATTTCGCCCCCGAGCCCGACCCGAGCGCAGCTCAGTTTTCGCACTACTTTTGCACCTCTCTCAACATCTCGTGTGTCAAATGTACTCGCGGGGGGAGGTTGTTGCATGTCGCGACTCGGGCGCAGAAACTGCGACTCTCTCTGCTCTTAGCTACCTCTCTCACGGCTCTACATAACATTGGTCAGTGCACACACAATCTCACACACCTTGGAGTGTAGATACGTTAGAGAGTATGCTGAGACGGCGCGAGAGACACCCCCGAGACGACTACCCGCTGGTGTACTGCCGGAGGACCGTCTGCGCCTGCGCTGCCGCCGCCTCGCTGCGGCACGCGGAACGGCTAACGTCGCAGCCGGCGCCGCCGCGAGGCCGCTCGGCGCCTGCCCCCCCAAAAGCACCCACCAGCGCAGCGTACCCATCGGCCTGGTCCGAGCGCACCGTGACCGAGTCCTGGCTGCCCTCGGCGCTGAGACGCTCCTCGCACGCGCGCGCAAACCGCTCCGCGACGCTCAGGTCCGCCTCCTCGGCTTGCCACGGCGCCGCAGACAGCTCGCTCGCGGCGCCGGTCCACGCGCTGCCTACAGGGAACGCCGAGGCGACGGGTCCGCGGCGGCTCCACCCGCGCGGCAGCGCCGGCCCCGCGCGGCTGCCGGTCGCGCGCGCGTCGGCGGCGTCGAACGTGGTGACGACGGACTGGAGGATGAAGGAGGTGAGCAGGTTCGTCACAAGGAAGAAGACTGCCACGTAGAAGCTGCCGAAGAAGGCCGTGGCCGCGGCGTGCGGCGCGCAGGCGTACGCGGCGCCCATGAAGACGTTGAAGTTGTTGCCGTTGGTGAGCACCCAGCAGGTGACGAGAGCGGACGGCAGGTCGTTGAAGTTGAGCGCGTGGTAGCCGAGCCGGCTGTAGCTGCTCCCCTCCAGACAAACCGCACCCTCGAACCACTTACCGCCAAAGACCTCGAGGCCGACGGCGGCGAAGAAGAAGAGGACGATGAAGAGCAGCCAGAGGAAGTGCAGCGTCGCCCGCGCCGTCGCTCGCACCGCCTCGAGCAGCAAGCGGAAGCGCGGCGAGAGGGCGAGGAGGCGCAGCAGCCGCAGCAGCCGCAGCAGCAGCAGCGCCCTCAGCGCCTGCGGTACGCCGGCGACGGGGTCGCACCTCCGCACCAGCACGGTGAGCATGAGCACGATGCCCGAGGCGGACAGCGCCGCGTCGAACAGATTCCAGCCGCGCAGCACCACCGAGAGGAGCGTGCCTCGCGAGAAAGCCCACAGCTTGACGCACGTCTATACGGCCCGGAGGAGAGGGTGCTGCTCAGCGATGCTCACAGCGGCACGCCTGCTCTTTTGCTGTGGAGAGTGCTGTCTGATTGGGTCTCCGAACCCGCGGGCTCGCTGTGAATGCACCCGCCAGCTAGGCAGCTCTGCGGCGGTGTGGGTGTAGAATGGCACGTGGCATGTCGGAGAAGCGTGTGGCGTGTGTCCTGTGCCCATATGTGCTCGTACGTGTATGCGCCTCGCCGCTCCAGAGGAGCGTGAAGGGCAGCTGCACGGCGAGCTGCGTCGCGCAACTCACCTAACCACACGCCCCGGCGCTGTGAAGCGGACGCCGTCCGCTCGCAGAGGGCAGCACTCCGCCGCACGGCTCGCCCGCTCCCGCCGCGGCGCCGCGTCACGAAAGCCGTCGCCCCAGCCGCCGGCGGCGGGGCCCGTCCGGTAGTGCGCGTGGGCGAGCTCTTCGCCCGAGCCGGGCTCGAAGGCGGGGGTGGAGGCATTCGTGGCCGGCGGCGCGGCGAGGCTGCCCTCCCAAGTGATTAGCGCGACGTTGAGCAGCACGAGCGCGTCTAGCGCGAGCGTCACCTTTGCGCTCGAATCAGTGGTCGCTGTGGTGTGCTCCCCTCTCTCTCTCTCTCTCTCTCTCTCTCTCTCTCTCTCTCTCTCTCTCTCTCTCTCTCTCTCTCTCTCTCTCTCTCTCTCTCTCTCTCCCTCTCTCTCTCTCCCTCTCTCTCTTTCTCTCTCTCTCTCTCACCCGAAGGTCTCGCAGCATTGCCCGTGCGCGGAGGCGGAGGCGGTGCGCTCGAATCGCGCGGATCGGCGGCGCAGACTCGAAGCGGACGTGCAGCGCGCAGAGCACGGCGTCGAACTCGGCCGGGTCGAGGAAGCCCCGCTTCCGCGCGTCGAGCGCCTCAAAGATGACCCCAATCTGCCACGCGGACAGGTCGGGCCGCAGCCGCGCGAGCAGCGGTGCGAAGCGGCTCAGCGGCAGCGCCTCAGCAGAGAGGGCGTCGACAGCGCCCGCCGACTGCCAGTCGTGGACGAGCAGCGCAAAGGCGGCGCGGAGGGCGCGGCGCCGGTTTGCAGAGAGCACCGCCGCCTCGGACTTCATGTGCCGTTCGTACGCCCGGTACAGGAGGGCGAGCCTGCGTGCTGAATCCGCCAAACCTCGGGGCGGGACTCCGGTGTCGTGCGAGGCATTCAGAGCACCGCGTGAATACCGAGGGGTACGCATACAGTGAAGAGAGCGGAATGCGGTCGAATGCGGCTGGATACGTGTCCTCCCGAGCGCTGGTTGGGAGACACGAATACGCATTCCGCTTCTAGCACGGCGAGCCAGAAGATGGCGCACCCGCGCGGGATATGGGGAGATACGGGGAGATACGGGGAGATACGGGGAGATATTCCGCTTCTAGGCGGGCGAGCATCAGCGCGAGGCCGACGAAGACTAGCGTGAGCTGGAAGACGACAAAGTAGAGCACCGTGGCGCGCGAGGAGCGGTACGGGCGCAGCGCGACGTCGGGGAAGTTGGTGGTGGTGAGGAGGAGGAAGGAGGAGTAGAAGGACGAGCCGTACGAGGCGAAGGCGGCCAGCGGCGGCTCCCACGGCCCGAAGAGGACAAAGCTGATCAGCGCGCTAAAGGCGAGCAGCCCGGAGATGAGCAGCAGCAGCTCGAGGACGGCAGGCAGCATGCGCACGACCGCGTAGAAGGTGGAGAGGAGCTTCCGGTGTGCGAAGACGATGAAGAGCGGCCGGAGCGGGCGCGAGAGCGGCGTGCGGCGCCACGAGACCGAAGAGCACCAGACGGCCAGGTCGGCCGCCGCCACCGTGAGCAGCAGCAGCTGGAGCACTGCCGGGGCTGACCGGGCGAAGCGATGCCGGCCCATGAAGCGCGCCTTGAGGCCGAGCTGGAGGACAAAGAGGAGGACGCAGCACGCCTCGAGCGCGCCGCCCGCCAGCGGCGACAGCGGCGTGAAGCCAAACGTGTGGTGAGCCTCGAGGCTGCCGGAGTCGGCCGCACACTCTGCCGCCAGCGTGCCCTTAGCGGTGATGCACCATCCCGGCGTCTCGCACAGCGCAATCGCCATGTACGCGAGCACGTTGAGGTACCGCAGAGCCTGCACCGGCCGCGAGTGGAAGAGCTCGAAGGCGGTGAGCGATCGCACGTCGACGCCGTGGCACTCTGGGCGCCAGCCGTGTGAAGCATCCGCGATGTAAGCGCACGCGAGCCGAATCCGTGTCGCCTCGTCAGCCGGAGCGGCGCCGCTGCTAGCGCTGAGCAAGGAGGTCGAGCGGGTGGGCATGATTTCAATATGTTGCCAATATCAAGGGCTTCTTTAGCGGGGCCCGGGGGCGCGCTGAACGCAAATGCCCTCGCCCAAATGCCTTGCCCATCCAGGGTTTGGGCCCTCCGGGGGGAGGGGTGGCACGCCGGCCGCCCGGTTTTCAATACCTGTCCGAATAGGAGCTCGAATCCAGTCATGAAAAAAGAGAACGGGAGGTGGATCATGGGAGACGTACCGGGCCGCTCAGGGGGGGCGGCGTGATGAAAATCTTGTGTGAAGAATCCCGCGCCTTGCGGCGCGGAAAAGAGGAACCGTTTCATTTCTCTATCTTTATGTTCATGCATGGCGCGGGAGCGAGGAGGCCACGGCCCCAAACCCCGCGGATAGCGGCCGGACTCGAGGAGCCGGACAGAGCGAAACGCGCTTCTCCTCTCGCCGCCTGGTGCAGCGCCAAGCCGCGCGACGCCGAACGCGTGCTCATCGCTTCTTCTTCTTCATCTGCGCCTTTGCCTTTTTGCGCGCTCGCCGCTCGTATCGGTTCACCTCCGCGCCGCCGCCGCCGCCGCCGCCGCCGCCAGCCGCCGCCTTGGAGGCGGCGGGCTCCTGATCACAGCTCCAGGTGTGAAGAGACGCCATTCACGACGGGCCGCCTTCTTCGGAGAGCAGCGGGGCAGCCGGAGAGGGCAGCCGGAGCGGGCGGGAGGGCGGCGGGAGAGACGCGGGGGAGAAAGGAGCAGCACGAGACAGGGAGAACACCCGAGATCACCCGAGATCACGCGAGATCACCCGAGACCACCCGAGCTCCGACGGAGCAATGGAGGGGCGGCAAGAGAGACATGGGAGAGCGGCGCGCCTTGGGCATCGTCCACTCATCCGTGACCGGATCGTACACGGCGCCCGAGCGCTGCGGTGTCACGAGGACGAGGCGTGAAGAGGGCGAGGGGTGACACGGGACGGCTGTTGGAAGTGTCTCATAGCTGTCTCGCAAGTGTCTCCCAGCCGCACCAGCCGAGACTCGACGTCGGTCGGAACCTCTCCGTACCGCTGCGGCTGCTCGGGCACCTGCGGGGGCAGGTCTCGGACACGTCACTGCGGGCGTGCTGAGGATGTGTCTTGGAAGCGTCTGCGCACCTCCGCCTCGTCGCGCTTCTGCCAGCCGCCTGCGCAGAGGGAGTTGGGAGGGGCGTAGGGAGTGGAGGGCACGCGGCGGGACGCGGCGGTGCGGGGCCGATCAGCCGGCGGGACCGGCGGCGGGAGCGGCGGCGGGAGCGGTGTCACCCTGTGTCTTGTTGGACTCGTCTAGCGTCACGAATATCTGCGGCAGGCGGGAGGAGCGCGGTCGGCGGCACGGTCTCTCGACGCAAGGGGCCACAGGCCCGGCGTCCGCGCCGAGTAGAGCGTGATGCCCACCACGCCGGCAAGCAGAGTGTAGACGCCGATGTCGAGGATCGTGTCCACCACGGCGTCGGCCGTCAGGAGGGAGGAGGCGGCAGCGCTCCCGACGCCCGCGGCCCCGCCTGTCGCAGTGGCCGTCGGCGCGACCGCACGCGGGACCAGCGGCAGCGGCGGCCGCGGCGACAACGCCGGGCCGAGCTGAAGGGCGAGCGACGCAGCCGCGAGAATGGGCTCCAGCGCCATTCGGGATGACAGAAGAAATCCCGTTTCGGAAAAAAAAGGTCCAATTTAAGCCGAGTGCTCCAAGTTCCATCTTTCCTGCTCTCTCTGCCTTCTCTTCCCACTCGACATGCTTGCAAGCACGCGCGGCTGCCTACTTGGCCGCGGCAGCCGCGATCGCCGTGTTCCCATCCACCGTCCCGGCAGCGTTTCCCAGCGCGCCCGCCACCGCCGCTCGTGCCACATCCTCTACCGCCACCGGCGCCATGCCCGGCGGCCCAGGCGGCCGCACCTCGCCCGGCGGCCCGCCCGCGATGATGCCAGGCTTGAGCACGAGGGCGGATGGGTAGTCTTTGCCGACCGCCGCCTCGGCCTCGGCCTTGCCCTTGACGTAGTCGCCAAAGACAAACTTGATGGGCGAGCTGGCGAGCTCCGACGCGAGGCCGAGGTAGACGAACTTTGGCACCGCGGCCAGCTTGGAAGCCGCAGCGATCTTGACGTTGACCAGGCCGTTGCCGTCCCGCATGTTGGCGCCGCCCGGCGCGATGCCGATGCACGAGATCACGGCCGCGGCGCCGCCAAGCACGCCGCTCAGGTCGCCGGTGCTGGCGTCGAGCTGCACGTACTCGACGCCAGCGAGGGGAGCGCCGAGGATCGCCTTGACCTTGTCCGCCTGCTCGGCTGGCGTCTTGCGAGACACGGACACGACTTGAGCACCCTTGCCGAGGAGCAGCCGCGAGGCGTATGCGCCGACGTAGCCTGAGCCACCAAAGACGACGACCTTGGGCTTGCCATCAGCGATGGCGGCGGTGGAGACGCCAAGAGTAGCTGCGGCGGCGGCGGCGGCGGCGGAGGTGACGGCCTGGCGCCGGTCCAGCGCGGTGACTCGGCTGCTACGGCTCGGGCTGCTCGACGCTCCCACCGCCCGCCGCCCGCTCATGGGAGTCGGCAGCAGCAAAGCTGCCGGTTCAAGCGCCAGAAGCAGCGCCAGCATTGTCCGGTGTGTAGGAGCCTTCCGCCAGGTCTTCTAGGACACAACTGCGATGACTTCGTATCGGCGAGCAAAGGCAAGCTGAAAGAAAGAAAGAAATTTCGTTCGCAAACGAAGATATTTTTTTGTCACAGCGCTGCGGTGAGACCCTCCACAACCCGCACAAACGCAGCAGGCAGAGACCTCAGCGTCCCTCCTCCTCCGCCGCCGCGCCCGCTCAGACGCGTGGGCCAGACGGCCACGGCCACGGGCGGCAGAGCGGGAGTGCCACACGCAGGATTGCTGCGGCTGTGAGCGCGTGCAGAGAGAGTCCTGAAGACGCGCTGGGTGTTTGTTGTGTGAGAGAGCACGCGCAGTGCCGCTGCGCAAGGGCCCGTCGCCCGCGCCGCTGCGCGCGCCGCCGCGCCGCCGCCACTTGAAGAGCATGCAACTGCGCGAAGCAGCCCACCGCTCACTGTTGAGCGCTGCCCTTCGCCGCAGGGAGATGCTCGCGTCGCTGTGGAACCGCGCCAGCACGGCCTACCGGGCCAAGGTTGGGAGGGAGCTGTCAAATCACGGTGCGGCCCGCCCACGAGACCGCTGCGCCGACGCCGCGTGGATAGCATGTTGGCGGCCGGTCGCGCTCGCGCTGGGATGCAGACACCGAGATTTTTCAGACACGCGCAGAGACGCACCCACCTCGCTGCCGTCGTGCCGCGAAGCGGTTGGGCGGATCCGATGGCGATCTGCTGGCGGTAGTGCTCGGCGCTCACAAGCTTCTGGCTGGCGCCTCTCACCCTGCCGTCACCCTCGCACCTTCCGGCTTCACCCTGCGTCACCCTCGCCCCTCACCCTCACCGCTGTGTCGCAGGGCTGCTGTACGAGGACTGCCTTATTGAAACGGAGGAGGTGAAGCTCGCGCTGAAGCGGCTGCCGCCTGACGTGCTCACGACGCGCGCGCGGCACCAGCCCTCTCGGGACCCGCACCCACGCCGTCGCTGTTTGCCCCTGTAGGTGCTGAATGCGAGGGAGCAGCGGCTGAAGCGTGCGATGGTGCTCTCGAGTCAGATCAAGACGGTGTGTGCAGTCATCTTAGGCCACCCGAGATTCCCCAGCTCCCCTCTAGTCACACCAGGATGGCGCGCGCGCTCTCCCAAGCGTCTTCTTGCCGCCTCAGCGGCTCCCTCGCCACTGCCCTGCGTTTCCCCCTCGCATGCGCCGCCCTCGGATGTCTCCCTCACCGCCATCGCCGCCACCCTCGCCGCCGCCGCCGCCCTCGCCTCGTCCGCCGCCCTCGCCGCCGCCGCCTTGCACGCCGTAGAGCTTGCAGAACACCTCACCACGGAACATGCCCGGCGCACACGCCCCCCGTTTGAGCGCACGCCAAGAACTGGCGCGTCTGCGTGCGACGCCCACCGCTGACCCTCCCCCCCCCTCCCCGCCCCCCAGTTGCCGCCGGAGGTTGCCGAGAAGCTGGACCCGTTTGAGTCGTACCTCGGCCCGTATCTGGAGCAGGTCAAGAAGGAGAAGGAGGAGCTGCTCCTCACAAAGTGACCGGCGGCAGCGCGACCGCCCCTGTTAGCCACGCCCTCCTCGTGCCTGCCTCCTTTAGCCCCGTGCCGTGCCTATGTCCCCCCCCTCTCTCTCCCCCCGCGCCGCCGCTGCTCTCCCGGTGTGCCGAGAGGGACGGAGCTCGCTCCTTTGCCATTGCCGCGTTGCGGCCTCTGCGCGGTTTCGGCGTTCTCCATACGAATGCGATGAATCGAAAGAAAGACGGCAGCCCTTCCTGAGGTCTGAGGACTGAGCACTACACATTCTGTACAAAAACGGTGTGACTTGTGAGCTGAGGCCAGCTGTAGAGCTCAGCTGAGAAGCTCGTCGCGGCTTCGTTCTCGCCGGTCGCGCCGGCGCGCGGAGTCTCCGGAGGTGCGCGTGCGGAGACGCCGCCGCGCCGCGCGCGGGTCGGCCGTCGCGGCTCGCGCTCGCGGCACGCGCGGGGGGCGCGCGCGGCCGGGGAGCTGCAGGCTCTCGTGTGCAGCTGCGAGCCAGCCGTGTGGACTGGTGCACGTCGTGGGGCGTGGGGCAGCTCGCTTGTGCTGCAAAAGTTGCCGTCCCTGCCCGCTCGGCGGCGCTGGCGCTGCGCCTAAGGTATACGTACTTATAGCTTACTGGGAGAAAAGAGAGAGAGGGGGTTGTGTTCTCTAGGCCCCTAAGGGCCCTACGCGCGGCGTGAGAGCTCGGAAGCGAGCTTTGCACGGCGATCGAGGATGGCACGGTTCACCCCCTTCACCGAAGCGATGGAGATGCGTTCCGCGTGGTGTGACACAAATGAGAGGCGGGAGTGGGGAGGGTACGCGGTGCGGTCAACGCCCGAGCGTTGAGCCTTGCGCGCAAGGCGGTTGATCTTTGCAACTGCTGGCGGCGAGAAGCCGCCGTGTAAGGTAAGGTAAGGTAAACTTCTCCACACACACGAGGTGGTGGGGCAAGGGGGGGCAACCCTCGCGTCTCCACGTCTAACGACAGGAGCCCCACGGCATTCAAAGTGCAAGGCCCGGTGTGCGCGTGGGTGAGCGCGGTGTGTTGTGTGTGTGTGTGTGTGTGTGTGTCGGTGTGTGTGTGTGCCTCGGGCGACGGGGGCAGCTGCGGCGGGGAAGCTGCCACCCGCCCTCGCGGCGCCGCACGTTAAAGAGTCGCGTTGTTTTTCTTACGTGTTAGGGCCCGGAGTGCCTCGTGGGTGTCCTGTGCCCCCGACTTCATTTAATTTATCTGGGGCCCTGGGGATTCACACAAAAACACAACCCCGGCCCCAAGACGCACAAGCTCAGACAGTCGAGAAAGGGATTCACATATACAACGCACGACCCCGGGCCCCAAATCGCTCATTCATGATTTTGTGATTCGGACACCAGCTTGCTGTGAAGCTACTCGAGTACCGGGTACCTAGGTAGGATCCCTACGTGAAGAGAGACTAAAAGTACGTACGTGAACGGCACGCGAAAAACGGCTACCTCCTGTATCGGAGTTTTGTTAGTTCGAGGTCTCGGGAGTTTTGAGGGAGAGAGGTTTCTTGAGTTTCTTGAGTTTCTTGTATCTTAAGAATTCTTGAGTTTTGTGCGCGATAAATTCGTGCCCGTCCGCGGCGAGCCGAGCCAGGCCACGGCGCTCGGCCTCCTGAGAGAAGACCATCCCGGACGGCAGTGACAATTTACCCGACATCAATCGTCGACGGCAAGCTCGAGAACTGCGCCTCCAAAGTCGCCCAGATTCGCCTCTCGCGGCGCGCTGAGTTAGTATCGCCGGTGCACCAGCCAGCTCTGCTCCACAGCAGGGCATGCCTGACTGGCTCCTGCTAGCCGTGCGTCCTGGTGGCATCCATTGCCAGCTCAGGTAGCCTCAGGAGGTCGCCTCGCGCACGACTCGGCGCCGCACAGCACCGCTCCGCGTTACTACCGAGTTAGTATCGTCGACCCACAGTGACTGCTCTTCTGTAGGTGGAGCCGACAAACGCCGGCCGGGTCGGCCCCGCCGCCCCCATCGCCGCCGCCGCGCCCGGCGGCGGCCTCGGCGGACCATCCGGCGCGCCGCGCGCCCGACGGGGAGGCGTTCACCACTCCTGGATCCTCACCCTGCCACGCCTTCGTGCAGACGCCGTGGCACCCACCTCAGGCGCCGCTCGGACTCGGTTGACGGCCGCCCAAGTGCTTGGCTCGTGCCCAGCCGACCGGCAGGCGATGCCCACTCGCTGCTAGGCTAATCTCGGGCTGTCTTGCGGCGGTGTGGTGCCGTGAAGGGCACCCGGCACAAAACTACGATAGTTAGTACCGTGCGGGGGCAGTGCATTAATTCTGTTAAAAATCCAAATCTGCTCCGTGGAGCTTGTTGAGCTAGGATCATACGTCCGGGAGGCCCCTCATGCGTGCCGTAACGAGCCACGGTGCTGGTATGACTCTGTTCACGTTCACACCTCTTCAATAGCGCAAAACTCCGATACAAGAGGTATCGAGTACACAGTCGAGCGCATGCGGCGCGGGCAGCGCGTTGTGCTGGTGGACCTCGTCGGCCGCAGCGACCTCAACGGCCGCACGGGGTTCGTGTGCAAAGCAGCCGACGATCCAAACGGCAGAATCGGCGTGCAGCTCCAGCCTGGAGAGGAGCAGCCCGTGGCACTGCGCAGCCAGAATTTAGTGCTCGGGGCAGCCGTGCCGGAGCTGCCATCAGAGCTCTGGGACGCCATCTTCTGCCGGTCTGACCGTCGTGCGATCCTCCGCCAACGCGCCGTCAGCGCGCAGTGGCAAGGCGCCATCTCTTCTTCGGCGTGCATTTGGCGGCGCATACTGCTCACGGTGGATGCAAAGCAGGTCCCGCTGCCGCCCACGGTTGCCAACCGGCTCGTGTGCAACTCGGACGCGGCCGGCGCCCACCCTCGCGTGCCCTTGGACGCGTTCTTGCCTCTCGCGCCCGACGAGATCAACACGGTTCTTCCCAATCCCAGTGCGTCAGCGGGTCAGAGTCCCACGACCCGTGACACCCGTGACTCGTGGGTGAGTGGTGATTGGCCTGCTCCGCAGGTCTGGTCGAGGAACTCGTCGTCGTCGGTCCGCACCGTCCGGTGACTCCCGCGCTCTGGGTCAATCCTGGCTTCCGGCGGGAGCTGACGGCCGCCAGCACGCCCCTCCTGCACGCCCTCTTCGGCGCTCGCCTGCCGTGCTTGCGCAAGGTGTGCGTGACGAAGATGGCGCATACTACCTTACCTTGCCTTACCTTGCCTTGCCTTACCTTGCCTGCCGTGCTTGCGCAAGGTGTGGGTGACGGAGATGGCGCTGGCGGGCGACGACAACCTGCTGATGGCCCGCTCGCTCAGTTGGCTACGAGAGCTCCCTCGCACGCTCGAGCACGTGCACATCGGGCTCAGCGCGGACGTGTGGCACAGCTGGTCGCGTGCGTGCGCCCACGACGGGGTGGCTCCCTTTGGATGGTTGCCACGCGTGCGCAGCCTCTACTGGAACTCGTCGATGGCCAAGGTGGGCGGTGTGGTGAAGCACTTGCCCTTGAGGGAGAGCGTGGTCGCCGCGTGGCCACCCGCAATGCGAGAGGGCCTGCACTCGCTCGCGGTCCTCGGCTCGGGCAACGCCGGCGCGGCTATGCATCGCGTGCTCCCGCTGCTGCCGGGGCTGCGCAGCCTCTTTGTCGAGCTCAGCGCCCCGTCGCTCGCCACGATACGGCGGCTCTGCGACGCGGCCTCCGACGCGGCCCTCGAGCTGCTGGTCTTGAGGTACGACACGTGCGAGGCGCTCACGCTCGACGAGTATGCCGCCGGCTTCCGCGGCGTCGCCACCACGCTGCGTGAGCTCAGGTCAGCTCGGGCGCACCCGACCTCACCCTTACCGATCTTACCCTTACCTTGCCAGTCCCCTACGTTAACCTGACCTTGTCTTACCCTTACCTTGCCTTGGCTGACCTCGCTCGCCTCGCGCGCGCTCAGGCTGTACCACGACGACTGTCAGTACCACGCCGGCCAGGGGCCCCGGCGCATCGAGGCCCACCTGAAGACAGTGCTCGACATTGCGAGAGTGAGGGTGACCGGCGACGGGGAGGCGGCGTGGAACGCGGCGGAGCTCGCGACTTCTTCCTTCCCTCGTGGATGGATGGCAGAGCAGCGTGAGGAGAGAGTCTCCCTCGCTGCGCGAGACCGCTTTTCCTAGGGACTAAAGAAAGAAGTGAGCGCGCCTTGCGGGGGGGGGCGCGGAAAAGAGGAACCTCTTAGCGCCATCGCCACGGGCAAGCAACGACTGCGACAAAAAGAAAGCGATTTTCCCGCCCCGCCCTCGCCCCCGGCCCAAGTGGCTACACCCAACTGCCAAGTGCCCAGGGCCCACACCCACCGGCCGGCGATGGCGCGCAAGGGTGTCTCGATCTGTGGGCTGGAGAAACAGTACGAGGGTCTCCACCGAGTGTACCTGCAGCTCGCAGCGCGGGAGCAAGAGATCAGAGAGGGCATGGACGACGCACGTCCGGGTCCTTGCACCATGATCAACGGCGTCGACTTTGCGGCGGCGCTGTCTCCGCTTCCGCGAAGCATGCCGCTCAAGACCGACTCGGACGCGAACAGGTTTGCGATGCTCGTCTGGAAGATGCTCGATGCGTGCGAATCGGGCAGTGTCGGCGGCGACGCTTGCCGGATGGACGACGTGATCTTCGCCGCTGCGGACGACGCCAAGGAGGAAGGCCACAGCTTCAGCCCGCGACGCTTCGAGCACCTTCTCGGCCTTACCCTCGCCCTGTCCAACCACGGCGTCGAGAGTTGGCTGCAACGGGGCGACCCACACAACGTCCGCGTCATCTTCAAGAGTCTGGGTGACGGGTGGAAGCCGCTGCTCTCACCGGGCGCCTCGTCCCAGAAGGAGAAGGTGCTCGCGGCCGGAGTGAGCACAGAGCTGCATCAGTTTGCGATCGAGGCGTGCGAGGCCCTGCAGCGCCAGCTCGCGTCCGACCGCGAAGGGAAGATCTCATTCAACTTCATCGCCAAGCCTCGCGCACCCCGCCAGCCGCGCGAGCCCAAGGCCACGCCGGCCGTGCCCGCAGCTACCATCATCGACGCGGCCGTGTCGGAGCAGGAGGCGCGCGAGCTGCGCGCGTTCGCGGCGCACCTCTCCGAGCAGGTCAGGCGCACGCCCCACTCCGAAAAGGGCGCCGCCGCCACCGCGCTCGAACTGCACCGCGGCAGCGCCGCGGGTGGCGCGCTCGTGCGCGCGCTCGGGCTGGGCAAGGATCTGCGGAAGGTCGAGCTCAGCGGAGCGCAGCTGCTCGCGTTGCTGCCGGCGCTCCCCAAGACGGTCCACCCCGTCGCGATCCGATCGTGGTCGAAGGTGGTCTGCATGCAGGGCACGCGGCCGAACATCTACGCGTGGGCGGGCTTCATGTCGGTGGCACTCACGCTCGTCGCCGCGAGTGGCGCGCTCAAGCTCAGGGTGACGAGCCGCGTCGTGGGCTGCGGCATACCGTCCTACGTCGGCGGCGAGGACGCGTTCGACGACTACCTCACTGCCAGCGGCTCCACCGAGTTCAATGCGTGGAAGAAGCGCAAGCGCGACGAGGAGATGGGGTTGCACGTCGCCAAGTTCCGCGCCGCTCTCGCAGCACGCACGCACCTGTGAAGGCATTTCGCCAGGTGGCCATGGAGCCTCTGCACACGTGCGGAATGGTGCCTTGCATGCTCTGCCCGAGGGCCCAGGCAGCAGGCGCGTGTAAAGCCGTACGCCTCGGTGTGCCCCCCCCGCGCCCCGGGGGGCACACAGTCACAGACGACCCGGCGAGAGCTCTGGATTTCAGCCATACGGCTCTAAAGACTAAAGCTCCAACGTTTTCAAAGAAAATAACGTCCTCTCCAAGTGCACCACGTGTGAATAGTGAACGCCGAATGCAGCCCTAGCAGGCGTACCAAAAGTCCATTATTAAACTTAAAAGTGTGCGTGGCTACGGCGGCCTCCGCTGCCCGACCGTTCACTCGCTGTCACGGAACTTGCCTTGGCCCGCGGCGTCCCTCCTCGCCGGCCACAGGGAGAGCGCGAGCGCCCTCACCTTGTCCGATTTCCACGAGAGAGGCTCCTGCCCGTTGACTCGGTACACGAGCGCCTGGAAGTGCGGGTGTGCGGGTGTGCGGGTGTGCGGGTGTGCGTGCGTGCGTGCGTGCGTGCGTGCGTGCGTGCGTGCGTGCGTGCGTGCGTGCGTGCGTGCGTGCGTGCGAACGCGCGCCTCGAGCCGCCGCCACAGCAGCACGGGCTCGGAGTCGAGGACCTATGGGACATGTCAGGGAAGTGTCGTGGACATGTCCAGGACAGGTCCAGGGGCCGCCCACGCGTGCTCGAGGACCCGGTTCAGCCGGCCGGTGAGGATGCAATAGTGCTTGTCGAAGGGCGGCTTGTGGTGCGCGATGTGCTCTGGCACCTACAGGACATGTCTCGGGCATGCCGTCGACGTGTCCTGGACAGCTTTGCGCGATGTGCGCGCGGACCGGCAGCGCGACTCCAGCGCGCTGCAGCCGCCGCTTCCACTCGGGAAGCTTCGAGGGGGGCGTGTGAGACCTACTTCGCAGCGTGAGCGCGTGGCGCGCTCTCCCCCTCGACCTAGGCGTCTTCGAGCGTGCCGCAGCACGCCAGCGATGGAACTCTTGCGCGACCAGCTGCAGGTAAAACATGACGGCGACGCAGGCCGCGCCGCTCGGCGGCAGCAGCGCGAGCCCGAGGCCGAGAAGCGGGAGAGTCGCGCCCGCGATCTTGTAGACATTGTTGAATACGGAGCGGTGCGAGATGGTCCAAGGGGCGAGGTGGTGGCCCTGGAAGGCGGCGCACGCAAAGCCGACGACGGGCGTCTCGAGGCGGCCGTAGTTATCGGTGGCCCAGTGGAACGCGCCGCTGAAGAGCTCGCCGAGCAGCGCGCCGGCCGCCACGCCGAGCAGCGGCGGCAGCGGGCTGCCGCTGCGCACAAAGGCGAGCGCCACCACGCCGAGCGTCGCCGCAGTGCTGGAGACGGTGACCGCGCCCATCGGAGGCGTCGTCTCGAGCGAATCGCCGGGCAGCGTGAGGACCGGCTCGAGGCGGCCGTCCGGGCCGCGCGTGGGGCGGAAGCTGCCGTCGAGAGCGAGCGCGGCCAGGTCCATGCTGTCGAGCGCCGAGTCGGTGCCCTCGAGAGCCGAGGCGACAGACGATGGCGCGATCAGGGACGGAGCGCCCCGCGTGTCGATGGCGGCGGAGCCATAACGGAGGATGGGCGGACCTCGCACGATGGCCGCGGCGAGCGGGAGCGCGGCGCAGAACATCGCCGTGGGCGACTCGATGCCGGTGTGTGTTGTCCTCGCCAGATGCGCTGGATGGCGGCGAAGGGTCCGAACCCTGTTCCGGCACGCAAGAAAAACGAAAGAAAAAAAACAACCAAGGTTTTTTCTTTTAGTATTTTCAGCGGAATGAGCGGCGCCATAAGCCCAGCCGTGCTGAGTGAGCGTACTTCCCTAGTCACCCGCGTCCGGACTCCATCCGGCACGCGTCGCTCAGAGCCGCGTCCCCTGCTCGCCACCCCGACGCCCAAGGCGCCCATTCCGAGGTTAGCCTGAACTCGGGGGCACAAAAGAAGAAAAACGCGCTCGAACGCGTTGTCGTCTGGCGGCATGAGCGGCGCCGCGAGCCCAACTCTGCTGCCCGACCTGGCGGTGGGCAACCTTGGCTCGCTGCTGGCCCTCCTCTCCGGGGGGCAGACGCGCGGCACGTCTCTCGCGGCCCAGCTCGACGCGCGGCTCGACACCGAGAAGCAAGACACGCTGCTCACCTGGGCCGCTCGGCACGGGCAAGCCGAGGCGGTGCGGCTGCTGCTCGAAGCTGGCGCAAGCGCCGGGGCGACGACCGGCGGCGGCGCTTCCGCGCTGTACATCGCGTGCCAGGAGGACTACCCCGAGTGCGCCCGGCTGCTTCTCGAGGCTGGCGCGGCGGTCAACCAAGCCCAGAACCAAGGCGTCACGCCGCTGTACATCGCGTGCCAGAAGGGCCACCTTGACATCGTCCGGCTGCTGCGCGACGCTGGCGCAGCGGTCGGCCAAGCCAACGCCAGAGGCGCCACGCCGCTGTACGTCGCGTGCGAGCAGGGCCACCTCGAGTGCGCCCAGCTGCTCCTCGAGGCTGGCGCGGCGGTCAACCAAGCCCAGAACCAAGGCGTCACGCCGCTGTACATCGCGTGCCAGAAGGGCCACCTTGACATCGTCCGGCTGCTGCGCGACGCTGGCGCAGCGGTCGGCCAAGCCAACGCCAGAGGCGCCACGCCGCTGTACGTCGCGTGCGAGCAGGGCCACCTCGAGTGCGCCCAGCTGCTCCTCGAGGCCAGCGCGGCGGTCAACCAAGCCCAGAACCAAGGCGTCACGCCGCTGTACGTCGCGTGCTACAAGGGCCGCCTCGAGATCGCCCGGCTGCTTCTCGAGGCGGGCGCGGCGGTCAGCCAAGCCCGTGACGATGGCGCCACGCCGCTGTACATCGCGTGCCAGGAGGGCCACCTTGACATCGTCCGGCTGCTGCGCGACGCTGGCGCAGCGGTCGGCCAAGCCAAGGAGAATGGCTCCACGCCGCTGTACGTCGCGTGCTACAAGGGCCGCCTCGACACCGCCCGGCTGCTTCTCGAGGCTGGCGCGGCGGTCAACCAAGCAATGAACGGCGGCTTCACGCCGCTGTACATCGCGTGCGAGCAGGGCCACCTCGAGTGCGCCCAGCTGCTCCTCGAGGCCAGCGCGGCGGTCGACCAAGCCGCAGCGGACGGCGCCACGCCGCTGTACGTCGCGTGCCTTAAGGGCCGCCTCGAGATCGCCCGGCTGCTTCTCGAGGCGGGCGCGGCGGTCAGCCAAGCCCGTGACGACGGCGCCACGCCGCTGTACATCGCGTGCCAGGAGGGCCACCTTGAGGTCGCCCGGCTGCTTCTCGAGGCGGGCGCGTCGATCGACCAGGCCAAGGAGAATGGCTCCACGCCGTTGTACGTCGCGTGCTTGGAGGGCCACCTCGAGATCGCCCGGCTGCTTCTCGAGACCGGCGCGGCGGTCAACCAAGCCGAGGAGGACGGCGCCACGCCGCTGTTCATGGCGTGCCAGGAGGGCCACCTCGAGGTCGCCAAGCTCCTCTCCTCCTACGGCGCCTCCCGCGCCGCTACGCCCTTCGGCACGCCCGAGGAGGCCGCAAACAGCGAAGGCCACGCCGACCTCGCCGCCTGGCTGGTCGCCAGCCGCGGCTGGACGCCGCTCGCGCACCTTGAGAGCCTCACCGCCGCCCGCGCCACCTCCCTGCTGCGCAGCGGCGCAAGCCTGCACGAGGGCGAGCCGACGCCGCTGCGGCGCGCCGCGGGCGGCGAGGGCGAGGCGGCGGCGCTGATCCGGCGGGCGGCGGCGCCGTGGTCGCCGGCAAGCCACTCGCTCTTCCCCGCGGCGGCGCGCGAGTACGCGGTGATGGTCATGCGCATCGGCCACCAGATCGCGCTCTCTCCGCCCGACGGCGCCGAGGCGCGCCCGGACTGGAGCGCGCTGTCCGACGTGTGGCGCGAGCACGTGCTGCCGCACGCGGTGGCGCGCTGAGGCCGAGTGAGGACGCGAGTGCCACGCGGCGGCGCTGATCCGGTGGGCGGCGGAGGCGGAGGCGGCGGAGGCGGAGGGGCAGGCAGCGTCGGAGCGCGAGGCGCTGGCCGCGCTGCAGCACCTCGTGTGCGCGGACAGCGCCGAGGCGTTGCGAATCGCGATCGACGACGCCACGCCACACGCGGGCGCGATCGACGCCTTGGTGGGCTTGGAGGAGGAGCTATACGCGGCGCCCCCACATAAATTGGATGAGAACAGAAGAAATCAAAATACGCTTCGTTTTTGCACGCGCTTTTGGCGTTTCTTCTTCACTGGCGCTTGGAGCACTTGGGCGCACTTGGAGCACTTGGAGTGCAGTCATTAACCGCACATCCAAAGAAAGAAAGAAAAAAGAAAGAAAGAAAACGGACAACCCAAGGGAGGGATGGGAGGACGGCACGCCGCCACCACACAGGGATTTTAAGGAGAGGGGTGTGGTGCACTAGCCATCGCCCACCCTTGGGCGTCCGCCTCTTCCTATCTCTCTTCGCAGTCTCTCTCCGATTCTCGCTGCGACCTTCGTGCCACCTCGCGGTCGTCCCACTCTCGTCGTTCTCTCCCTTGTCATTTCCTCCTCTGTCGCGTCGTTCTCTTCTGCCTCGTCCTGCGACGCCGCCGCCTGCCGGTCCCTTGTTCTCGCGGCTTCTTTCGCCTTTCGGCGCAACTCCGCCCTCCTTGCTGCATATCCTGGCCCCTCGAGTCTATCTCACAAAAACTTGATTTTTCCTGGCGATCGGATTCTTCCCAGCAGCGCCGATTCCTAACAATCGGCGCCCACTCGCTCTGTGCTTGATCGCACGGCTCGGCCCGACACGCTGCGAGCGAGCTTCTGCATCGCCCCGACCACGGCGAGAAGCTCGCCACCATCGGCGATGTTGACGCAGGCTGGTGAGCTCCGCCACTTCGGCTGACGCGCGCGATTTGCCGCTCAAGTCCTAACAATCGATGCCTCCTGCACAGGAGGATCAACTGGCGCCTCTGGCGACGTGGCCGAGAGCAGCGCGCGGGCCCGTCGGCGCGCACTACCGCGGCGAGACTCGCCCGTCGCGCCTGCTGACCTCCCCACAACCCCTCTAGGGTTTCGGCTCCGACGAGCTACGCGGAGCCAACAGGGAAGGATTTGGACACTGCGGCCAAGGTGGACCGCGCTCTGCAGCTGCTCGCCGAAGCCGAGGCTCGAGGGGACAAGCTCGTCGCCGCACGCGCTGCGCGCGTCGCCGGGACCGGCGAAATGAACGTGTCACGCGCTCTCTCTCGCATGCGCGAGAGCGGCGCCTGGGCGCAGCTCGTCTCTCAGTGCAAGGAGGATCCGCCTCTGGTGAGCCCGCCGACGCTGCCGCAGCCCGCCGAGCCCGCCGCAGCACCGCGCACGCCCATCGCCGAAGTCATTAAGCGCGCCCAGCAGCGGCCAGGCGATGGCCGGCCTTATGGCCAGCATGGCACACGCGGCGCGTTCAGGGAGGGAATGAAGGTAATGAGCCTCCGCCTCTACAACGGCGAGGTCACGCCCAACGCGGCGGTGGCTCAGCTCGCAGGCGCGGGCGTCAAGGTGAGCAAGCGTACGCTCGTCGAGGCCTCAAAGAAGGCGCCGGGCCACGTCCGTATGGGCTGCACAAGCCAAACCACGCTCATCACAGCTTGCCACAGTGTGGCCCCTGGCAGTGGTAAGCCATTCTTGGTTATCCAGCTCACAGCAGGGCCGTTTGACCACGATTGTTAGACGCCGTGAAAAATCAAGTTTTTGTGAGATATCGAGCTCTCCTCGCGCAAGGACGAGTCTTCTGACGCCCACTGCGATCATTTGCCACCCAGTCATATCATTGCTCAGGTCCACTCTCTCTTCGAACACTTGTGCCTTCACGGATGAAAGAAAAAAGAAAGAAAGAAAACACACAACCCAAGGGAGGGGATGGGAGAACGGCACGCCGCCACCACACAGGGATTTAAAGGAGAGGAGGGTGTGGAGCGCTAGCCGTCGCCCACCCTGGGGGGTCTGCCTCCTCGTATCTCTTTTCGCAGTCTCTCGCCGCTTCTCGCTGCAACCTTCATGCCACCTCGACGGATGAAAGAAAACGGACAACTGAAGGCTGCGATAAATTCTTTCCCTGCGGGACGGCAGAGGAACCCTCGCTGCGCTCTCCTCTTCATCTACTCTGCCGCTCGCGTCCGACATGGACCAGCCGCCCGCCGACAGCGGCCACCTGCATGGCGAGCTACTCGTCCAGGTGGCGCACGAGACGGTCGCAGCGTCGGACGCGATGCAGCACATCTTCCCGCTCATCCCGATGACGTCGCCAGCGGCGCGGCACCTGCACGAGCTGGTGTACACGATCTGCACGATCGAGACGCTCGTCCACCAGTTCATCGACCAGCAGCTGCTCAGCGCCGAGGCGTCGCCGCCCAACTTTCGCCGGCGCGAGTCGGGCGCGAAGCTGCAGGACACGCTCGAGCACATGCGAGACGCCACGATCCTCAAGCCGGCGGTCAAGGCGTCGCTGCTGTCGGGCGGGATCGCCTCCCTCCTCTACCTCTTCTCCATCCTCCTCCGCGACCTCAACATCCAGCTGCAGGCCCTCCCAGACATTGAGGCTGCCGCCACGCCGAACGTCGCCGAAGCCGCTTGCGCCGTCGGCGCCGCCGCCTTGGGTAGCCTCCTCCAGCTCTCCACGGCGTCGTCTCTCACGCGGCGCTTCTTCACAGGCGCCGCCGCCGTCGGCGGCCTCGTCCAGCGCGAGCGGCGCCGCCTGCCGATCCGCTCGCGGGCCGGCGAAATGCTCGGCCGGTCTCTCCTCGCCGGCGCGGCTGCGTACGGCGCCCGTGCGCTGTACCTCGAGGCTGCTCGGAGGCGCGCGGCGAAGCGGCTGGCGCAGTCGGAGAGCCGACTCTCGCTCACGCTGCGGCTGTGGTGCCTCGCCACGTCGGTGCTGCAGCGCGCGCACCGGCAGGGCGTGTCCTACACGCAGCTCGGCCACCTGCACGAGTCGTCGAACGTACAGCGCGTCGCGTCCTTCTCCTCGCTCGCCGTGATGAGCGGCGTCGACAGCGGAGGGGGCAGCCTCGCCGGCCGCAGCCCCGCCCTGTCCCTCTCCGCCACCCAGTTGCACGACGGCGCGTCGCCCTAGGAGCTGAGGGCAGACCGTCGTCTTCCAACCAGCACTCGAGAGGACGCACCTCCCCATATCTCCCCAGATCTCCCCCAGATCTCCCCCATATCTAGCACTCGAGAGGACACACCTCCCCATATCTCCCCATATCTCCCCCATATCTCCCCCATATCTAGCACTCGAGAGGACACACCTCCCCATATCTCCCCCATATCTCCCCCATATCTCCCCCATATCTAGCACTCGAGAGGACACGCGTTCAACCACGCGCTCAACGCGAGGCTCCGAGGACACGGCACACATACCGCCTTCCCAACCGGGGGGGGCTGAGGCTGGCGGAGACGGAGCGTTAGGCGCCTCGCCCGCCGCGTCGCCCGCTCTGCCGCACGACGCCGCGGCAGAGGCGGCGCTGGGCGGCGGCGGCGGCGCAGGGCTGCGGCCAGCGGCGTCGTACCTCTCCCTCATCGCGCCGCCCGGCGTGCACGATGTCGACGTGTGCGAGCAGAACCCGACTCGAGTCATGTTTGACGCCTGCACGCCCTGGAGCGGCGCGTCGTACTGGTGGCACCTGAACCCTGTCCTCGACGTGACCAAGCGCGCCGTCGATATCTACTACGCCTCCCTCTTCGCCGCCCTCCGATTCGCCGCCCTCGCCGAGCTCCCCACCGCCGCCGCCTACCCGATCGCGCTGCCGCTGCTCGGCTGGTTCGCGCTGCGGCCCGCCGCCACGGCGGCGGAGGTGTGGAGCGGCTGGATGGCGCCGAACATGCTGCAGCTGCAGGCCATCTCTATTGCACTCTGTGTGGTGACGCCTCGGCTCCCTGAGAACGCACACACCGCCTCGTGTGCAATGCCCCGTGTGTGCTCCGCGAGTGCGCGTGTGCTGCCCCGTCGTCCGTGCTAGGGACGCGTGTACCACCGACTGACGGACTGCAGGCCATCTTTGCGCCCCTGCGCTGGCCGCTCGTCGTGCGCGTGGTGCGCGGAGTCTTCGGCGGCGGCTTGCGGCACGAGGAGCGCACGCTGCACGGCCGGCGCATCGTGCTGATGCAGACGGAGGAGGCGGCGGCGGAGTGGGACGCGAGGGCGGCCGAGGCGGCGGCGGGCGGCGCGCCCCCGCCCGAGAGGCCCGCGGTGCTCTTTGTTCCCGGCGGCGCCTTCATCGCCGACTTCGAGGCGGAAGGGCATTGCCGCCTCGCCCGCCGCTGTGGACGGCGCGTCTTCACGCCTCCGGCCGTGAACAGGCGGCCGACCTGTTCTTCCTCCACCGCTGGGTGCGGCAGACCGACGCCCTCGTCGTCTACCTCACGTACGACTTCGCGCCGCAGGTCCCGTACCCCCCCCAAGACCCCGCCTCAAACACACACAAACACTTCGCTGAAAGCCGTCACACACGCACACACACATACACACACACACACACACACACACACACACACACACACACACACACACACACACACACACACACACACACACACACACACACACACACACACACACATACACACACACAGACCCGATGCGCTCAACGCTGCTGCTGTGGCACCGCGTCTCTTCACACCGCCGGCCGTGAACAGGTCCCGTACCCAGGGCCGATGCTCAACGTCGCGCTCGCGTACCGCGCGCTGCGCGAGCACAAGCACGACCTCGGCTTTCGCGCCTCGCCGCTCGCCGTGGTGGGGCTCCCCGCCCTAGAAGCGGAACACGCATTCCCTCCATCCAACGAGCGCCCGAGAGGGCACGCACTCCGCTGCACTCCGCCGTATCCACTGTCTTTGCATCCCTCGTATGTACGCGGTGAAGACACGGCAAGAGACCGTCCTCCGTCCCTGACCTCGGCGTGTCCAAGACGCAGGCTCTCTGCGGGCGGGAACTTGGCGATGGCCGCGCTGCTCGCGCCGCTGCTGCTGCACCACGCGCCGCCGCCCGTGGTCGAGGCGCTGGGCGGGTGCGACCCGGTGACCCACGAGCTGCCCCCCCCTCCCCGCCTCCCCTCGTCCCACAACTTCCTCGCCAGCATCTCGCTGCACGCCGCATTTCCCTCCCCGAATCCTCCCCACATCTCCCCGCATCTCCCCGCATCTCCCCGCACCCTCCCCAAATACCTCCCCCCCCCCACCCACAGCCTCCCCATCCCCCCCCCCCCGCCCGCCTCCCTCCGCTTGCAGGTGATGCCCGACGCCATCTTACTCCTCTGCCCGGTGCTGAACATTTGCCGCTCGCCTTCGCCCTCGCGCGTCGTGTTCGCGTCGGACGTGCTGCTGCCGCAGCCGCTGCTCAAGGCGTTCGCCACCGCCTACGACAACGACTCGGACCACTGGATGGTGCGCGACCCAATCTTCTCGCCCGTCTTTGCGCCCGACGAGGCGCTGCGCCAGCTGCCGCCAACGACTATCCTCTGCGGCGGGCTCGACCCGCTGCTGGACGACTCGGTCGACTTCAACACGCGCATTCGCCGGATGGGCGTGCCGGGCGAGCTGCACATCTACCGCTCTCTGCCGCACACGTTCGTCTCCTTCCCGCACTGGCACATCCTGCCCGAGGTCGAGTCGGCACTCGCCAAGAGCGTGCAGTTCCTGCGCGCGGTCTGCTCGGCCGCGCCCGCCGCCGGCGTCGGCGGCAGCGCCACGCCGCCCGGCGGATCGGACGACCCGTGGAAGGAGCCGCGCTCGGTGGGCTCGCAGTCCTTTGACTCGGACGACGGGTTTGGGTTCTAGCGTCACTCTCTCGCTTAGGCCTTAGCACCGGGTGTGTAAGCTGTAACGCTAACGGGGAAATAAATAAATAAAACGGACACCTCTACTAGGAGATGGGTAAAAAGGAACTCAGGTCCCCGCCCTGCGGTCTTTGTACGCTAACGGGGAAGATTTTAACGGAAGATACATTTTGTGCCACCCCGGGTGCGAGGCGGCCCAATCCTACCGGGCAGCGGCGACGCGTAGGCCTGCGCCAGCAGCTTCTTGTCGTGACTCGGCAGCCGCTGCACCGGCGGCGGGGTCGGCGCGGCCAGTTCGGCAAGCGGGCTCTGCGCGGCCAGTTCGGCAAGCGGGCTCTGCGCGGCCAGTTCGGCAAGCGGGCTCTGCGCGGCGGGGCGGCGCGTCGGGCTGTCCATCTCCGGGCGTGACCAGCGGCTTGAGGCCCTGGTCGCTGAGCTGCCGCAGCGGCCGCGGCGGCTCGGGCGGAGGCGGCTCGGGCGGAGACGGCCCCTCGGGCGGCGGCGCCGCAGCCGCCTCGGCACCTTCGGGATCAGGCTCGGGCTCACCGGTCAGAGCGCTCAACAGCCCGCGCCCGAAGCGCGCGTCGTCGACCAGGCCGTGCGCGTCGAAGAAGGCGACGAGCCCCCGCTGCCGCGCCAGCAGGTCGACAGGCGGCGTGTCCTTGCCGTTCACCTTGGCCTGGTCGAGCGTGAGCTGGATCTTGCGCAGGTCGACGGGACAGAGGGCGAAGGGGCGCGACTCAGACTCCTCGAGGTGGTTGGAGCCGTTCATCACGCACGAGGCGTAGACGCAGTGCTTGATGCCGAAGAGGTGGCTCGCCTCGTGGCAGAGCACCATGCCGCAGCGGCGGAGGAAGCGCGGCGACGAGCGCGGCACGTCGTCAGCGTAGCGCGCGAACGAGAAGAGGCCGATGGAGAGGTCGAGGTTCGCCTCGCCGAAGAGGAAGCCGAAGCCCGAGCTCGAGTTGCACAGGTCCTCCATCGTGTACCCGATCACGATGAAGGCGTCGCGCGGCTTGTGCGCGTGTATCACCTTCTGCGCGCTCGGGCACTCGATCTGCGCGCCGTAGCCGCAGCCGTCCTCGTCGCGCTCGATCGCCGCGAGCGCCTTGGCGGGCAGCGGCTTCATGCGCTCCACCTCCAGACAGAACCAGAGCCGCTCACGTCGCCGAGCGGGAGCAGGTAGATCTTTCGGCACACGCGCGTCGGGAAGTTGCGGTGCGGCCCCGGCTGCAGGAAGCGCTTGATCGGCTGCCCCGGTCGGTCGCGCACGCCCGGCTGGTCCTTGCCCAGCCAGTCCCACGCGCCCGCGGGCGGCAGGTTGGGGAAGCAATGCCAGCAGCGCTCGAGCGGTGGCGCACACGGCGGGCAGCCATCCTTGAGCGCCTTCTCGCGGGTCTTGGCGTCCTGCGGCGCCTGCCAGCCCTTCTTCTTCGGCGCAGGCATGGGAGGCCCGGCCGGCGGCGCTCCATTCTGCGCGGCCGGCGGCTGCCCCTTCTGCGCGGCCGCCTTGCGAGCCTTGGCCTCTGCCTGCCGTTCCACAAGCGCGCCCACCTGTGCCTCGTCGGCACCCATCGACACGGCCAGGCGCACCGCTGCCTTGTCGGCCGCATCGCCCACCCGCTCCATGAGCGCGTCCATCATGGCCAGGGTTTTCTGGAGGTCCGCAGCGACCTCATCGGGCGACTTCGCCGGAGTAGCCGGCGGCTTTGCAGGAGCTGCGGCGGGCTTGTTGGCGCGTGGCTTCGCGGCGGCCGCTTGTGGAGCCTTCGCTGGCGTCCGCGCGGCCTTGGCAGGCGGCCTGGCAGCAGCTGGCGGTGGCTTGGCTGGCGGCTTGGCTGGCGGCTTGGCTGACGGCTTGGCTGGTGGCTTGGCTGGTGGCTTGGCTGGTGGCTTGCTCGTCGGCATGTTAGGCTTCTACGCTCGTATGGAGCGCTCGCATGTGGTCCGCGCCGCGGGCAGTCGGGGAGGATTTGAGTAAACTGTGTTCTTTTTGCAGCGGCATTGTGCACGGTGCTAAGTGCATTGCCGCTCTTAACGGAGTCGCTTAGGCGGCTCCGGTGGTGTGCCGGTGATAGTACTAGCACGCGCCAGTTCGCACCTGTGTCGAGCCTGTCTGCTGTGTGAGAGAGTTCTTTTGTTTAAATTCTTTTTGCTTGGGCTGGCCTGATGCCGGGGTAGGTAGGGTAGGTCTGCTCCCGTCGGGTTTTTCCCTCTCTTCAAGCTGGAATTTTCAGAAAAAGAATTTTTCGCGGAAATCACGATGTCAACCCTCCCCAAATGGGTGATCTGATGCTTGTAGGGCTTGAGAGTGGCCTGCCGGAAAACCTGCGAAAGCCCAACTCACACCGTGGGTGGCAGGGGCGGTGATAGGAGTCTCCCACTCTTTGGGCTTCGCTAGATGTGCGGCCAACGCGTGTCCTCGCCCCTTGCGGTCTTGAGGGGCGAGACTTGGAGCACTTTTGGAGTGCAGTCGGCAACCTCACATCCAGGGCCGGGGAGCTAAGAAGCGCACCCAGCGGGCCGGATGATCGGTATCGGGTTGCGGGCAAGAGAGCCCTAGCCCCGGGGGTGCGCGTTCGCAGGGAAAGGGCCGTAAAGTAAACACGGGTCTCCGAGTACCGAGAGGGCTCCGTGTACCGGGTCGTTTCCCCTTAACTGCAGAACGCCCCCTCTACTCGGAGCTAGTGGACACGGACACTACGACACCACCCGTCACGTACACACACGACTGTCTAACATGTACACTGCCCGGCTACGCGGCGGCTCCCCGGCGCCAGGGCGGCCCCGGACGAGTTTTTTGTGGTCCGAACCCAGCATCTCACGGCTACAAGCTCCACCTCCAGGAGGCGCGGCACCCCTGCCGTCCTCCTCGGCGTCACGCACCCAGTGACCACCGCGCCGCCGCCCCGCCGCCGCAGGGAACCATGTCGAAGGAGTTCAAGCTGGAGAAGGATATGCCGCTCGAGGAGATGATCAAGGGCCTCGAGGTCGGCGCCCCGCCCTCCGCCGAACCGGACCAACCGCCGGCCCGAGCGCAGCGCGTCGGCCGCGCCTCGGCGGCGCTTTTTTCGCAGCCCCTCAGTCCCGCGCCCGCCCCCGCCGCAGCCCATGATGCCCGTCGGCGCGCGCGGCTTCACGCTCATCGAGTCGGACGGCAAGGACGAGGCCGGCGAGCCAAAGTTCAAGATGACGGACCTGTCGGCTATCCAGGGTGCGCCGCCGAGCACGGCCGACTCCCTCCCGCGCCACCGCCGCCGCGTGCCCTCGCCCCCGCGCTTCGCCCCGCCCTCTGGGGCGCCAAGGCCCGTCCGCGCCTGTTGTGGAAAGCGGGCCACCACGGAGCACGCCGCCTTTTGACCCGCCGCCGCGCCCATGGAGCGAGCCGCCTTATGACCCGCCGCCGCGCCGCTGTCACGCAGACAAGATCCACAAGGAGGACCCTAACTGGGACTTCGACAAGAACTGCTACAAGCCGCCCTCCGATTGAGCGCCGCACGCGTTGTGACGGAGTCGAACTCAAGGCGAGAGCGTCTCGGTGCTCTCGCCGGCGCGCATGTTGCTTGTGTCATTCTTGTGCTCCGGTCGCCTGAGGCAGCCGGTATTTAGAGTGTTTTTCAGGAAAGGACCCGGGCGCGGCGGGGCCGGGGCGCGGGGGGTATACGTCTGGCCATATCTGCGGCGTGCGGGGTGCGCGGTGCGCTCGCTCTCGCGGTCTCTGGCGCCGCAATTTGGCCTCTGCGCGCCCAGCGCGCGCCGAGAGCGGACCAGCACGCCAATGCCAATGGCACGAGAATGGCAATGGGTGCGACGCGCCGACCTCTCGGCGTGCGTGTGGGTGTGCAGTGTGCTATCTGGCCTCTGCGAGCTGTGACGCCACGTGTACATCTCGAGGCAGGCCTCAGCAGCCCACCGCACACACAACAACAAGAACACTACCAATCACAGGTCGTTTCAGACCGCGACAATATGTTCCAGCTGGACGTGTTCGTCAAAGACTCAGACTCAGCTGCACGCGCGCGCACTCGCACGGACACACGGTGCCGAGCAGAGACTGAGTAGTGAGTAGAGCTCTAGCTCTGAAGAGCAGAGCGAGAGCTACTCTGCTCTGAGCGGCGGCTGGCCTGGCCCGACACCCAGCTCCAACAGGGCACAGCCGCGGACATGTGCTATCGGACCAGCGAGGCGACGGCCCCCTGCACGAGGCGGACTGGCCAGCGCACCATGCCTGGGAGGGAGGCAAGGCAAATTACGACTACAAGGTGAGCAACCATGTGTGTGTGTGTGTGTGTGTGTGTGTGTGTGTGTGTGTGTGTGTGTGTGTGTGTGTGTGTGTGTGTGTGTGTGTGTGTGTGTGTGTGTGTGTGTGTGTGTGTGTGTGTGTGCGTGCGTGTGTGTGTGTGTGTGTGTGTGTGTGTGTGTGTGTGTGTGTGTGTGTGTGTGTGTGTGTGTGTGTGTGAGAGAGTGTGTGCGTGTGCGCGCCCGTGTGTGTGTGTGTGTGTGTGTGTGTGTGTGTGTGTGTGTGTGTGTGTGTGTGTGTGTGTGTGTGTGTGTGTGTGTGTGTGTGTGTGTGTGTGTGTGTGTGTGTGTGTGTGTGCCCGTGTGTGTGTGTGTGTGTGTGTGTGTGTGTGTGTGTGTGTGTGTGTGTGTGTGTGTGTGTGTGTGTGTGTGTGTGTGTGTGTGGTGTCACGGCACCTGGGAGGGAGGCGCCCTTGACGAGCTCCATAGCGATCTCGAGCATGATGAGCACGATGATGGTGACCTCGAGCCGGTGAGCCGTGCGGATCTCAAGCTGAGAGGCGAGCGAGTCGAGCAGGTCGTTGACGATGTCGAGCCGCTTGTTGAGCACGGCGACGCGGTCCTACTGGTGACGAGACGCCAACCTCAGGGCGGGGAAACGGTGTTGGGAAGAGCGTGCAATGCAGCCAGGGAATGCGAGGGGGAGTGGGGTGGGGCGAGGACATTGGACACAGCCGAATGCGGCGGAGTACAGTTGAATGCGGGTCCTCTCGAGCGCTGGTTGGAGTACGAGAATGCGTCTTCCGCTTCTAGGGACGAGATATGGGGAGATACGAGGGAGATATGGGGAGATCTTCCGCTTCTAGGCGCCCGCACTGCCAGATATGGGGGAGATACGGGGGAGATGTGGGGAGATCTTCCGCTTCTAGGGACGCGGTGTCCTCCACGTCGAGGTAGCGGTGCACGCGGCGGTACATCGCCTCATACTCCTCCGCCTCCCAGAAAAAGTCGGGGCAGTCAAGGATGTTGGAGTGCAGGTTCGCCTCATTGCGCTGCGGGCATGGGGGAACGGGGAGCTGTGGGGAGAGGTGGGGAGAGGCTGGGAGGACTGCAGGGTTCGCCTCGTTGCGCTGCGGGCATGGGGGAACGGGGAGCTGTGGGGAGAGGTGGGGAGAGGCTGGGAGGACTGCAGGGTTCGCCTCGTTGCGCTGCGGGCATGGGGGAACGGGGAGCTGTGGGGAGAGGTGGGGAGAGGCTGGGAGGACTGCAGGGTTCGCCTCGTTGCGCTGCGGGCGCTCGCGGAACGAGGCGGGTGAGGCGAGGCGAGGCGGGTGAGGGAGGCGAGCAGGGGGTGTGGGGGGGGGGGGGGGCAGGAGCTGGATCTCCGCAGCCACAGGACAGGGCGGCCCCCGCCCACACGGCATATGCTCTAGCAAGTCGATATGAAGGCGAGTAGTTCCGCCGCGGGGTGCTCTTGAGGCGGGCGGGCAGGCCTGCAGGAAGATGCGGCCGGTGAGCTGCGCGATCCTCTTGACGGAGAGCTGCTGCCGCCTACGCGAGATACAGCCGAGAGTGCGCGATCTCCTTGATGGAGAGCTGCTGCCGCCTTCGCAGAGTCCGAGAGTCCGCCTGCCCCACTCTCACCCCTCCCCACCCACCCCCCTCCCGTACCTGTGCGCAGCTGTGTCCGTCGTCTCTCGGCGGAGAGAGTGCTGCCGCCACCCGTGCCACGCCCAGCTGCTCGGGCACTCTCGGCTGGATCTCGGCTGGATCTCGGCTCGCCCTCGCCCGTGCCGCGCGAGCTGCTCCGGCAAGGCCCGCACCTCTTCGATGGTCTGCTCCAGCGCCGTCTCGAGGGCCGACAGCTTCACGGACTGCGCAAAGGCGAAGGAGACGGCGATCTTTTCGACCGGGTCGGCGCTCCGCAGCACCACGACGTTGCTCTCGATCTTTGTCCGCCGCGCGCCCGGCTGCGCCTCGCCGCTAAGCGCGGCGATTCGAGCTACGGTGGTGGTGCTCAGCTGGGTGGCCTCCGAATCGGCGCCGGCCTAGGTAGGTCGGGGAGACTTCTGCCACACACACGAGGTGGCGGGGCAAGGGCCGGGCGACCCTCGCGACTCCACGTCTAGACAGACAGGGGCTGGCACGGCATTCAACGTGCAAGGCCCGGTGCGCGTGGGTGAGCGGTTGTGTGTGTGTGTGTGTGTGTGTGTGTGTGTGTGTGTGTGTGTGTGTGTGTGAGTGAGTGAGTGAGTGAGTGAGTGAGTGAGTGAGTGAGTGAGTGAGTGAGTGAGTGAGTGAGTGAGTGAGTGAGTGAGTGAGTGAGTGAGTGAGTGAGTGAGTGAGTGAGTGAGTGAGTGAGCGTGCGTGCGTGCGTGCGCGCGCGCGTGGTGTGTGTGTGTGTGTGTGTGTGTGTGTGTGTGTGCGTGCGTGGGTGAGCGGAACCTCGCCGCTGTCTCCGCCGTCATAGGTGAAGAGCAGAAACTGCGGCGGCGAGGGTGGTGGCGAGGGCGGCGGTGGGGAGGGCGGCTGCGAGGGTGGCGGCTGGGGGTGAGGGCGGGGGTGAGGGACGGGGTGAGGGTGGTGGCGGCGAGGGCGGCTGGGATGGCGGCGGCGACGTGGCAGGTACGGCGGAGGGAGGGGTTGCGGCCGGGGAGGGCGAGAGCGGCGGCAGGCCTCGGACTCCGAGATGTCGGGAGATGTGGGGAGATATGGGGAGTGCCTCGGACTCCGAGATGTCGGGAGATCTGGGAGATATGGGGAGAGATTGCCTCGGACTCCGAGATGTCGGGAGATGTGGGGAGATATGGGGAGATATGCCTCGGACTCCGAGATGTCGGCTTCGCCGCCCGGAGCAGCGGACGCGCCGGCAATGGCCGAACCTGCGAGGGGCTCCGCGACAGCGGCGAGCGAGGCGAGGAAGTCGCCCTCCTGGAGATGTGGGGAGATATGGGGAGATGTGGGGAGATGTGGCGAGATGTGGCGAGGAAGTCGCCCTCCTCGCAGGGCAAGGCAAGGCAAGGCCGCCTCCTCCACACTCATACACGAGGTGGTGGGGCAAGGGCCAGGGCAGCCCTCGCGACTCACGGCATTCAAAGGCGCAAGGCCCGGTGCGCTCTGGGAGAGAGGCGCGCGCGCGCGCGCGCGCGCGCGTGTGTGTGTGTGTGTGTGTGTGTGTGTGTGTGTGTGTGTGCGTGTGTGTGTGTGTGTGTGTGTGTGTGTGTGTGTGTGTGTGCGTGTGTGTGTGTGTGTGCGTGCGTGCGTGTGCGTGCGTGCAAGCGGGTGGTGGTTGTGGGCTCCTGGCCCGTGTCGAAGCCCCAGAGCTGGACAGAGCCATACGGGAATAGAAACGCGTCGCGCTGCTCGCGCCTGATGAGAACAAAAGAGACGGGGCCTGCCTTGCAAGCAAAGGGCAGAGTGGGACGAAGGAGCGCTGCTTGCGCCCGTCCTCAAAGCGGCAGTGCACCACGTCGGCGTACGAGACGATGGACAGCTTCTGGCCAAAGGCCCGCCACCGCTCGCTCTTCTCGAGCAGCTCGATCGCGCTGTCGAGGTCGATCGACATGAACGAGCAGTAGCTCGAGCAGCGGCCGTGGCCCTCGCGCCACGCGAGCGCCGACTGGCGCCATCGCTCCTCGGGCGGCGGCCGCTTCGTCCGCCGCACCCGCCGCTGCCTCGACGCCGGGCCGCCGAGGTACTGGACCTGCGTGGTCGGTAGGTGAGAATGGTGAGGCGGCGGCAGCGGTCGAGGCGGTGCTTGTGCAGGCGACAGCTTTGCGTGGGCGGCGGCACCGAGAGCCGGAGCTCTTCGTTGAGTGACGGGCCGCCGAGGTCGTCGGTGGGCGCGCCCGTCTGGGCGGTGATGGCGGCCGACCGCTGCAAACGCTGCCGCTCGGGCAAAGGGCGATGATGAGGTTGGAGGGCCAGAGCAAAGAGCATTCCGAAGTATCGGCCACTACACAACCGGGGGGGGGGGGGGGGGAGGCGCAGCCCTGGGACGGCGCGGCTTCTCTCTCCCCAGCAGCACATTACGCGCGCGGGAGCCCCCCCGCGGTACTCTGTCCCCACCCATTGGTTGTCGTCTGGCATGGCCTGTTCTCGCCCGCGGTGCGATCTTGACGAGCTGGCGGCAGCCTGTGCACTCTCTGAGTTGTTGTGTGGTCGTGTGCATGTGCTCTGAACATGTCGGTCGTTTTGTCCCTGATGACGTGCCTTCGTTGGATTGCTGCTTGTGATCAGTGATGATGTTGCTTGCTATTTTACAGTCAGAATCGCCCTGGGGGCTCCTGAGGTCCTGTGTTCCTGTATAAAGCGTCAGCCGTCGGCAGAGCTTCACAGAAATTGTGGGAAAATTGGGAAACCACTTGACGGTGGCGGCCTCCGACTCGCGCCTCCGCCTCACTGGCACTATTGTAGCCCTGGCCGGTGCGCGTGTGAAGTTGAAGTTCCGGAGTAAAAATTCGAACGCGTTCTCTCACGGTGACCAAGAAATGTCCACCTCAGAGGCACCTCCGGAGGCAGGCCGCCGCACGCCGGCGACACAGCTCCAGCTGTCAAACTGACCCGCAGCTCCTCTCAGAGCGGGAACTGTGACGAAAGTTGACTGAGGCGGTTGTCAGGAACCATCATACGGATCACATGGTGGCTCTCTCATGACGGGAGACCGACCGACCACTCCTGGGTGGCACTGCCACCGGTGTCGCTCGATGTCCTGTCGACAGCGTGCCGACAGCGACACAGATCATGTGGGACGCGTCGAGTATCGACCTCTACCTTTAATGTGAGTAAAAAAATCATGTGTGGCCATGTGTGTGTACCTATCTTGCATTTTTGTGAGGCTACGCTCGTGCACACTCTGTCACTATTTCCAGTTACTCATACGGCGCAGCGACGCCCGATCCGCAGGCAGCGACCTTAGCTCGTCACCGTATCCTTTTGCTCTTTCCACTCCGGCTTCTCTCCAGTAGCCGTTACCTTACGAAATGGAGGGTCGTATTGATCCTCTCGCGCTAAGCCTTCTCAACGTCGTCTACAAATCCAGAATATGGCAGGAATGCCACATCCGTATGTGCCTCGGCGGCTTCCTCGAGGTCGAGGTAAACAACAGACTTGTGAATAGATCTATTTCAATTAGGAACATACCCAGACATTTTGCAGTGTTTCGTTTGTTTTTCAATGCGGAGAATTCGTCAAACAACTTTCTTAGATTGCTGCCTTCCGCAGGCTTGGGAGAAGCACCGTCATAGACCTTGACGTCTATCGTATCTCCCACTTGGCGTCGGGGCGAGGTTTTTTCAGGCTTTATCAAAAAATTATTGCGCCACACTTGAGCAAGCGCGTGACTCACGCCATCCTCCTCTATGTCCTCTATTCCAAAACGGTTTGCTGACAGACAGGGACCCGAGCAACGGTCGGCCGCACCAGTGGCGTCACCGTCCCATCTCTCCACCGCATCTCCGCAGCCCGAGCCGGAGTACATGTCGACGGACGACGAGCGTGGCTTGGCCAAGCGGATCTGGACCGACTGCTCGGACCTCGTGCCTCGGCCACGCTACGACGGAACACTCTCCTCCGCCGCGGGAGCGGCGCTTGGTGGCCCCGACGCCGCCGCCGCTCTAACTAAGTTGCGCAAGGAGATGCCGGCGCTTCCGCACATCAAGCCTGCGCCGGCGGAGCAGCGGGCTCGAGCGCTTTACGTCCACGCGGGCGCGGGCAGCTGGACACCGGAGCTCAAGAAGCAGGCGCGCAGCTGCTTTGAGGCGAGGCCGGGCAAGAGCCGGCGGCGGCGGACGTGAAGCCGACGTCGCAGTCGCGGCGAGACTTTGATTACAACTTTGCTGTGTCGCAGCGGGCGATTAGGTCCTCAACTTGTCAGACTCGCCGTCCCGTTTTGGACTCGCCACTCACGCCAGCCACGGAGTACGGTAGGTATACGCGGGAGCAAATCGAGGACAGGGAGGTGACGATCACGACGAGGGTTCAGCGCCGGCTGGCAAAAGCTGTGGGCGCAAAGCAGGCGCTCTCCAAGAGCTTCACCGCCGACAAGCAGCGCACGGCGATCCTCGACAAGATGGATGAAAAGCAGCTGCTGGAGCTGGAGCTGGAGCCCGAACCAGTGCCGGTGCAGTCCAACGCCAACGCTGTGGCGACTATCGGCAGCGGCGAGTAGTCGCTGCCGACCGGGTGCGCGCGGCCCTCCCCTCTCTCATCGCCCTCGCCGCCCTCACCGCTCCCCGCCCTCCAGCCCTCCCGCCCTCCTTGCCACCTGCGCGCCGTTCACTCACACCTTTTCCGTCCTGGCTCACAGGTCTGTGACGCGCACTTTGCGGCATGGCATCCTCCCCCTGGACGGGGCGGGGCGAACGATGCTAGAACTAGCGGGGTGGCGTGTGTTTGGGGATTAAAAGGTGGGCGTAAGGCCGCCCCGGCTCTAGTGTGTCGTCGTGGCTAGTGCAAGGGGCTCTGTCGAGCCGCCTGCGGCGCTCCCGCCGCCGGCGGGGTGCAGCGGCGCTGCGCGCCGCTGCGGAGGCCGCGCTGCGCGCGGGGGAGGGGGAGGGTGTACGGGAACCAGGGGGGACCGGGGAGGGTAGACCGCGGTAGACTGGTCTACCCCTTTTTCACCGCCGAACGGTAGACCGCCGCCGCCGGACGGTAGACCGCCTCGGCCGTTTGAATATGCAGCCTCCAGTTCTCCACTCTGGCGCCACTTTGGCAGACGAGCGCCGGCAGATGCCCTCGCGGCCTGCCGGCGAACGTCCGTCCGGCGAGAACGCGCGCCATAATGGACGTGTGGCTGTCTGGCGAAAACTCGCTCTCGAGAGCCGCGAGAGGGCGGCGCTCTGCAGTGAGCGGTTCCGCCCGATGAGTGTGTAAAGGCGTTCATTTGATCTCATAAAAGACACGGAGCGCGCCTCGCACGGAAATGGCATGAGGTGAAGCTCACAGCGACCGCGCTCAACAGCCTCTCTCACCGGCGGATTTCGCCCGCGCGGCAGACCGCACTTTCATCGCGCGTTCTCGCCGGACGGACGTTCGCCGGCAGGCCGCGAGGGCATCTGCCGGCGCTCGTCTGCCAAAGTGGCGCCAGAGTGGAGAACTGGAGGCTGCATATTCAAACGGCCGAGGCGGTCTACCGTCCGGCGGCGGCGGTCTACCGTTCGGCGGCTGAAAAAGGGGTAGACCAGTCTACCGCGGTCTACCAAGTCTACCGTCGGGTACTTAAAGAGCAGGTAAACAGCAATAGATCCGGCCCTCAAGCGGCCTAATCGATACCCAGCCCTCACGGAATCGGTCCCTCGTTGTACAGCAATCGATCCTTCACACTGACTGCCCGCGCTGCCAAACTTGCTGAGTGAGAATCGGTCCCCCCATCTGTGGCGCGAAGCTGATATGTCTCCCGCGCTCGGCGCGCCGACCGCGCAGCGGCGGCAGACCACCCTCCGGTTCGAGGGGCGCCTGGGGGTGAGCGGGCTGCCTCCGCCAGAGTTTGGCTCGCCCACCTGTGCGGGCCCCCCTGTACCCCCTCCCCCCCCGGCCCGGGTGTCTAGCAATTGGTCCCTTGGCAAGCGCGAATCGGTCCCCCTGGGGCTCCCCAACAACAGTAGCTAACGTTAGGCCGGCTGAACAACAATAAGCTAGGAAGGCCTGGCAGTGACCAACGACGATCTCCAGCGTCCAGTGCGGGTAATACGCGAAAATACCCGGGAAACCCCAGGTATTTTCGGGTTTTACCCGGGTTTTTTGCCGTTCTGCTTGCTGGCCGCTGAACAACAGTAACAACAGTAACAAACAGTAACAGCATGGGCTGGGGTGAACACTTGAACAACGTTAAGGATTTCAGCCAACAATAGCGCAACTGTTAGGCCCAAAGTTAATGTTAAACAGCTCTAGTTTTGATCTTCTCGGCTTAGGGGGGGCCTAGGCCCGTGGAACTCCGTGGGCCAGGGAGTGAGCGAGGAGTGGGTAGGGAGAGCGCGCGCGCGCGCGCCGAACGCGCGCAGAGGTGTGAAGGTGTGAGCCAGGAGCTCCGAGCGGGGGGGGCTGTAGGCCTGGAACGAGGAAGCCAGCCGCCCGCCCACAATTTGCCCTGCCTCGAAGAGAGCTATCGTGTTCATGTGATCCTTCTGGTACCGTACCTGGTTGACAACGTAGCTGCTGCCAATGCCCGCGCCCACCAGCGCAAAGTCAAACATCGAATCAGCGTTCGGGTTGCCATAGCAGTTGTTGTCTTGCCACACAGCCGGTGGGGTGCCATGAGTCGACACGGCTGGCGGGAAGATGAGGTCGTCGCACGCATGCCAACCCCGAGCGTGAGTCGGCTGTGGAATTCTCCTCGACGGAACACATATCGTGAGGAAGGGAAGAGAAGAGCGGCGAGCGTGTCGCAGTGAGGACAAGCGTGCACGTGAGAAGCGAGCCGAGCATTGCAAAGTGGCAACCCGGGGGAGCGGCAGGCCCAGGGGTGGGCTCGAGAGGGGTTGGCAGCGGTCGAGGTGCCCGCCGGCAGTATTCCTGTAATCTCCTGGGTCGTCATAAGGGGTGTAGAGATTGGGTGTTTCCACAATCAAACCGTCCGTGAAGAGTGCTTGATTCACGGACAGCGAGGCTGGCCGCACAGCGAGGCTGGCCGCAAGCGGAGCTCCCCACCGGCGGCGGGTTTGAAGACACTGAGCCGAGCGCGCCGGCGGCGGACCGCCGCCGGCGCGCTCGCTTCGGCGGATGGCTGAGCGGCACAGTTTCTGGCCGCCCGGCCTGCGAGCAGTCACCGCGAGACGATCGAAGGCGCTCAGTTCAAGCGCGCCGCCATGCCAGATCTCGCCCCACGCCCCGACCAGACCGGGCAGTACGTGCAGGAATGATGCAGGCATGATGGATGGGTGTGGTGAGCACGCCAGTGGCACCGCTGCGCACTCTCAGGGTCGCAGCCGCCTATCTCGTGAGGGGCGTGGCTCGGGGCGGGTGCGAGAGAGTCGAGGAGCGCGGCGCGCGCGTGCGCGCGCGTGGTAAGTCGGTTTACATTTCATCACTGGTACAAAAGAGACCCAAAACGGCACGCGCGCCGCGCGCACGCGCGCTCGCATCACCTCAACACTCACACTACACACAGCAAATCAAAGATGCGGCCAGGCGCGCTCCGTCCGGGTTTCTTCGATCAAAAGAGGGACGGCAGCGAATCTCTACACAGCTCATGTGCCTCGTCATTCCGGCTCAGAGGGGGGGGGGGGGGGGGAGCAATTCAGTTCAGATCAATCACGACCCCCTCGGAGGGGGCCGGACGAGGCGTACCCCGAGGGCCCCGCTCTTTCCCGGCAGCGCCAGCGGCGCGCGCGCGCACACACAAAGACGCTGCCCCCTCACACCCAGCCCATCGCTGTCACAGCTGTGGCAGCCGCACAGTAGGCTGTGTCAGCTGTGCAGAGTGTGTGAGCAGCAGAGGAGCTGCTCTCCAGGCTTCTGTCGCAAAGAGCTGCATGCCACCGAAAGCGCTGTCGAGGTTCGCCGAGCGCGGCGCAGGTTGGGGGAAGCCGCCACCGACGAGCGTGTTGGACTTTTCACTCCGGACAAAAAACGCGGCACAGCGGACGGTGCGGGGCGTGCCGCAAACATGGACCGTCTGTGGCGAGGTGGGTCGCGTCCCCCGATTTTGTTCAACCCAGCATCCACACCCTTTACCCCCCTCTATCGGGGTTATGGGGGGTTTACGTGGCTGGGTTCACAGCGATTGTAGGAAAGTGTCGAAACCAAATCACGGTCGCGGCCTTCCGACTCGCGCCTTCGCCTCACTGGCACTATTGTAGCCCTGGCCGGTGCGCGTGCGAAGTTGAAGTTCCGGAGTGAAAATTCGAACGCGTTCTCTCACGGTGACCCAAAAAAGTCCACCTCAGAGGCACCTCCGGAGGCAGGCCGCCGCACGCCGGCGACACAGCTCCAGCTGTCGAACTGACCCGCAGCTCCTCTCAGAGCGGGAACTGTGACGAAAGTTGACTGAGGCGGTTGTCAGGAACCATCATACGGATCACATGGTGGCTCTCTCATGACGGGAGACCGCCCGACCACTCCTGGGTGGCACTGCCACCAGTGTCGCTCGACGTCCTGTCGACAGCGTGCCGACAGCGACACAGACCATGTGGGACGCGTCGAGTATCGACATCTACTGCTTACCCAGCCTTCGGTTGTATCCTGGCTGTGGTCTCACACCCACTGGTGTCCATCTCAGAGACCGCAGGAGGTCATGAGGGTCGATGGGAGTGCCAACCCCACATGCCTAAAAACCCAGCCCAGTACGAGGTGTGAACGTGAACAGAGTAGCCAGATCGCTGTCGATCGTTACGGCACGCATGGGGGGCCTCCCGGACGTATGATCCTAGCCCAATAAGCTCCACGGAGCAGATTTGGATTTTTGACAGAATTAAATGCACTGCCCTCGCACGGGAGAATAGGATGCAAAGAATATAGATAGCCTTTGCAGAGAAAAGCGTGTAAAGGCCAGCCCGACTTTCTCTTTTTTTGTAGTCGAGTACTTTTGGCCACAAGCCGCTGCGCGATCCTTGGTGCGTTCGCCGATGTGCTTAGCCGCGCGGCTGCGGCCCGCCGGCAAGGCGGTCTCCGCCGCTCCCTCCGCCGCTCCCTCCGCCGCTCCCTCCGCCGCCGCTCCCTCCGCCGCTGCGCCGCCTCCGCGCCGCCATTCGCTGGAGCGTGCGTTTGGAGTGCTCCTCTCGGTCAATTTTCTCGTCTTCTGGGCCGTGCCAATCTTTGGGATGGGGCAGGCGTACCACCTTGGCCTGAAGCACGTCCTGCGGCCGCTCTACGACCGGCTCGACCGCTCGGCCGCCCTCCGCCGCTTTGCCGCCGCATATGTGTACAACAAGCCCGCCCACGCCGACTTTGCGGCGACGGCGGTGCTCACCTTTTTGTCGACGACGGTAGCGTTCGGCGTGGCGCTGCGCTATCAGCTGGTGCACGGTCACCTCCCGTGGGCCCTCCACGCAGCGTACAACTGCGCGTGGGTGGGCATCGGCGGCCGGATGATGGGCTCTGCGTACACCTTTGCGCACAAGGAGGGGCACAATGGCGTGCTCTACCAGCGGTGGGTGCGCCGCACGGTGGGGAACCTCTTCGAGAACTGGGTCGGGCTGCTCTACGGCAACGTGCCCTACAACTTCACCACCTCGCACAACCACATCCACCACGCCCTCGACGGCGGCAAGGCGCGCCGGCCCTATCCGAGACGCCTCCGAGACGGTCCCGAGACGGTCGCGAGACGGTCCCGCCTCTGTGGAGATACGGCCTCCTGCCGTGGGGCACCGCACACCCTGCCAGGCGCCTCCGCCTCCGCCGCGCGCCGCCTCCTCCTCGCGCGGCCACGCCCATGCGCCCCACGGCTCGGGAACACACGCTGCGCGCGCGGGCGGTGCGCGGGCGGTGCGCGGGCGGTGCGCGGGGGGCAGGCGATGCGCGGGGGAGACGGAGTCTGCCCTAGCCGGTGCATGCGTCCGAATGGCATCGTCGAAGCTCTCGTGCTTCCTCCCATAGCCAGTCGCCCGCAAGACACGGCATTTCTCAGTCCCTTGCCCCATCAGCGCCCCCGTGCCATGAGCAGTGTGATGACTTCCTCTTACTGCAAGTCATCAGGGCGACACCTTTTACTGCTACGACCTCGATCGCTCCTCGCTCTCCGACTTTATGCTGTACCAGGCGACCCTTCCGAGACCCGCCCGCACTGCCACATTGCCAGCCGCCGCGTGACGCACGGCCGCGAGGCTTTGCTTGGCGCCGTCCGGGTGCTCCCTCGCTGTCGCTGACGCGCCGCAGCCCCCCCCCCCCCCCCCCACCCTTGGGCCCCCCCTCGCAATGACAGCCTTCCCCTCCTCGGCCGCTCTCGCCGTGACACTCCACCCCGCCCCGCCGGCAGCGTCGCATCTTTCTGCACATGGCTGGCCTCTCGTCGCTGCGCTACTTCCGGCTACGCGGCATGCACAAGCAGGAGCGGCTCCTCGCGCGCGGGTGCGCAATCTTCTGGCTCGCCGTGCTAGAAGCGGACATATCTCCCCGTATCTCCCCGTATCCCGCGCGCGGGTGCGCCATCTTCTGTGGCTCGCCGTGCTAGAAGCTCCAAAGACGGATCCGTGTACTCCAAGTAGCGCTCGAGAGGACACGTACTCCGCTGTCTTCAGCCGTGTTCAATCTGTTCGTACCTCACGTGGTGCTCCGAATGCTCTGAACGAGATCGTAGTCCCGCCCTGAGGCTGGCGTCTCCAGCACGTAGGCTCGCCTTCCCGCTGCCGCTGCTGCTGCTGACGCGCAGTCCGTGGTTCCTCTGTGTGGTGTGGCTGCAGCCGCTCTGCGCCATGTCCTTCTTCCTCGCCCTCGTCAACTGGGCCTTCCACGCCTTTATCGAGCTCGACGCGTCGGGCCGCCACTTGCCCCATGTCAACGCGCTCACCATCCTCGACGGCCAGGACGACAACTTTGGCGAGGACGACCACATGGCGCGCCGACCCTCCTCGCCCGCCCTCCCTCGCCCGCCCTCCCTCGCCGACCCTCTCCCTAGCCCGCCCTCCCTCGCCAGCCAACCCATCGCCAGCCAACCCATCGCCAGCCGACTCTCGCCCACCCATCTCTCTGCCACGCCCCCGCGCCGCGGAGCACGCGCAGTCTCGCGTCGTGCCCGCCCCCCCTCCGCCCTCTGATCTCTCCGAGCTGCCGCACACGGCACTGCCGAGAGGCTGCGGGCGCCGCAGCGCGCGCGCCTCCCCTCTCCCGCCCACCCTCTCTCTCTCTTCCCCTCCCGCGCAGGCCCACCACTACGAAAACCCGATCGCGCACGCGCGCTCGCGGCACGACGCGTGGCGCGCGCGCATCATGCCCGAGCTCAAGGCGAACCGCGCCTCCATCTTTAAGGAGATCTCGATCGTCGAGCTCGGCATCCTCACACTGCTCGGCCAGGTGCGACGCTTCCGAGAAGATTCCGAGAGGGCTCCTCTGCCGCCCATCCACCCCGTGCGGATGTGTGGCTGTGTCGGAGGCCACGCCGCAGACGCCCCCCGGGGCCTGCACCAATCCCCGCCCCTCCTCGGCCCTGCCGGACGCCCTCCGTCCCTCCCCCGCGCCAGTTCGAGCGCATCGCCGAGCGCCACTACGTCGACTTCTCTGGCGAGCTGTCGACTGCGCAGGCGCCAGCTCTCGCCGTGGCTCGCTCCCGGCCGCGAACACGCCCTCACCCTGCGCCGCCGCCTAGCGACAGGCCGGCGTGCGGGACGCACCCCCCCCCCCGCACACACACACACGCACACACGCACACACGCCCCGCGACGAGTGGCGCCGTCCCTCCTGACGGGCCGGGGCTCTGCGCGCGTGGCGCAGGTGGCCGAGATGCTGCGACGCCGCGCCCGCACCAAGGAGAGCACGCACGAGGAGTACCTCGCCTGGGAGGCCGAGACCGAGGCGGCACTCCTCGCGTCGCCGCCGCCAAAGGATGACTGACGGCGCCCCGGGCTGCGCTCCGCGCGGCCGGCTGCAGGCGCGAGGACGTCGAGCCGGCCCTGCGCCGCTAGGGAGTGGAAGGCGCGAGTTACCGTGTCAGAGACACAACACAGGTGAGAGGTGTATATGACAGCAACGAACCCTGAGCACCGTCAAGTCGTCGTACGCCACTTGGCCTCGGGGGCATGACAGACGCTAGCATAGGAGTCAGATCACATATATGTCGGTTGTCGCATCATTTAAAGCTAGAATCATCAATCAACAAGACACAGAATAATCAATAAACTGCTGTTATAGCCCTGTTTGAAAAACACTAAACAGGAGAGTGACCCAGGTGCCACTGCCAGGAGGAGAGAAAGATCTCGCGCTGTAACGGTGTCTAGTTGCATTCACTTTGATTCTACGGCTCTGGTTCACGGAGAAAACAGGATCGATGAGAGGACGGGTGAGATAGAGACGATATGTGTTGTGATAGCTCATAGCTAGCCCCTTGACAGATCCCGCTTCTAACTGCCATGTCGGCCCCCCGGGCCGGTCGTCGGCTGCTGCTCTCGCCTCGCTGGCAGCGCGGTCTGGTGCCGCGGCGCCCATCTCTCCTGTGGGCTCGCGGCGGCTCGCCGCCGCGGTGCCAAACAATGTAATCGGTCCAGATTCGTCCCGGCGTACCGCCGGTGCCGCTTCCTCGCCGATTTTTGGCTCATCCAGTTAGTCGACAAAGTTGCCCTGGAGCTGCTGCCGCTCGACTGCGCGGCGGAATCGGCCCTTCGCGGCCGAGGGGCGATGCGCCGACGCCGGGGCTACGGCTCGGGACCATTTCCGGGCTGTCTCGGGCAAGATCAAAATTTGATGATTTCATGACCTCGCCACTATGCGGCTCTTTGACATCCACCTCGCGGCCCGCTGCGCGGCTCCTCGAGCGCGAGATGTGTCGTCTACGAGGCGGCGGCGCAGGCGGCGGCGGCGCGGCGGCGCGGCGGCGGATCGCGGCGCTGACAACGGCAGCAATCTGCGGCAGGCTGCTGCTGGCTGCTGCAGCAGCTGCTGCTGCTGCTGCTGCTCCGCTGCTGCTGATTGTGGCTACGATTTCTCCGATCACCCCGCCCGCCCGCTCCGCCGCGGGTGGGTGTGTGGCTGAGCTGTGGCGGGTCGTCTCCTGCGCGCGGTGCCTTCTCCCGGTCTGGTGCG